TTGTAATAGTTTTCATCTTCCTGGATGTGGTCATTGTCTGAGCACAATGGCTCCAGGTTCTTCTCCAAGGGGAAGATTTTGTGGACATTGTTTCTTTTTTCCTTTTTTTGAGATGGAGTCTTGCTCTGTCATCCAGCTGGAGTGCAGTGGTCTGATCTTGGCTTACCACAACCTGCGCCTCCAGGGTTCAAGGGATTCTCTTGCCTCAACCTCCTGAGTAGCTAGGACTACAGGTGTGCAGCACCATGCTCAGCTAATTTTTGTATTTTCAGTAGAGTAGGGGTTTCACCACATTGGTCAGGCTGGTCTTGAATTCCTGACCTTGTGATATACCCACCTTGGCCTCCCAAAGTGCTGGGATTACAGGCGTGAGTCACTGCACCTGGCCGACATTATTTCTTTCTCCTGCTTTTAGCCTCCTATTACAGATGCAACATGTAATAAATAAATAAGGTCTAGCTATTCCTTAACGTTTACAGCTTTCATGAATTTTTAAGGAACACATCAGGAAAAACTGCTGAAACAAAGCAATGGAGAGTAGGGTGTGATGAGGAGGTCTAGGAGTCCCTTCAATATTTAATGCAGCCAAAAGCCTCTGACAACTAATCATCTCTTAATGGGGCTTGCCCTTTGGCCCGCAAGTTTCTAAGGGACTAGAATGTTTGGCTTCCAAATAAGTTATCACTCACTCACTGAGTAAATACCGCAAGCTGAAAGTGGCCTCCCAGGCATCATTGGTCTTTGCTAGTTGAGTTTAGAAGGTCCCAGATTGGCACTACTCACCTCTAAATCACTAGCAGCTTCAAAACCAGAGAGGCATTTACTTTGGATCTGTAGAAAGGCTCCTATCTACCAATATGCCTCTCAGAAGCACAGAAGGGAGATGGCAGACAGAGATTGAGTTTTGGTGGGGTATGATCACCTGGGAAAGTAAGAGACAAATGAGAAAAGACTAAATGCAACATTGGCATTTGAACGGGGACTGGACAAGTGAGATTTGAGAGGAGATACATGGGGAAGTAGGAATGGACAGGGAGGGACAGTACGGAGAAGAATGGATACAGTCGGAGAAGAGAAGGGAAGAAGATGAGGACACAAGGATGATAAATGCATTTTATAAGAAACCCAACATAATGGGGAGAACTAACATGTCACCTCTTCTCTCATCTCCCAGTATACCTGGGAAATGAGCGGTGCATTCGTCATTAACTTCTACCAAGGATAACAAACAGCAATTCATGGGAAAGAACCTAGCCTGTCAGCATGAAGAGTGGAGGGATAGAGAGCTGTCTTCAATACCATTTGGTTGCCAATTCATATTTACACTTGCTCAGCAAGTTCCTTCATTTCCTTAAATTCCAGTTTTCCAATTTCAAAAAAATAAATTGCTCATTAAGTCACAAACAACTGAAATTTTTCACAATTGACAACCTAAGGAACAGAGTGTGTACTTTGAATTTATTGAATAAGAAATAAATTTTGCAGTCAAACTGATTAGATATGTTCAATAATTTCTAATAGAGGGCATTTACACCAAGGGCCTTTTAGTATTTTCTTCAGGATTTATTGTCTTGAAATACCTTTCAAACAGGTAGATTTAAAGAATGTTCAGGCCTGGGTATTTTAACTAGAACACAGTTGTTATTTTTGTTTTTAACCAGATCTTTCTCTGTATATCACTATCAAAATTATGAAGTGTCATAGAAATCAATATTAAGGTTAAAAGAACAGTTCTTTTCTTGATATATTTTTTTTAAAAAACAATCCATTTTTTTTTCAACTTGATTTATTTTAGGCACGGTGGAATTTCTTTTTGGCCTGTGCCTCAGACGTTGTTCTGATTAGCGTTGCTGGTTTAACCAAGTTGCAGCGATTAGCAGCCCCGATGATCATCTGGTTTTGTAAAGTTTTTTTTTCGTAGTTTAACTTCCTTTTTTAGTCTCTCTTAATTTTCTCGAGTCTCAGAAGAGCTGTGATACTAGTAACTATCTTTAGAAAAATACCCCCTTCTATTATCCATAAGGAAGTCTTCCTAGACTTCATTCCCAGACATAATAGTTCCAGGTCTGCAACAGGGACACTCCCCCTGTCTACTGTACAGGTGGCAGACCGAGACAAGGGGCTTCTTATACAACTTAGAGAGCCCTTATACTCCTTGTGAACCACAGTAGATTTGGCTGCATTTTGAGAAGTTATGAATTTCTTATTTGTAGCATCAAACAGGTGAGACTGTTTCCATCCATCTCATCTAAGGCTTGGTTCTATCGAGCATTTACGAAAATGACTGGAGAATAAACGGGAAGGTAGTGAAGACTGATCTCTTTCAAAGGACACATATCAAATTCCTCCCCCAAATAACAGCACTCACAAGGAACCCACTGAAGACATGGTATGTGTACCAGCCTCTGCCTCATCCCCCACCAGACAGAGCTGATTCATGTCTGTCCCTCTTGAGGTATGTGACATATTAGGCAAAGAAAGGAGTTCCTTTTGTGTTCCCAGAGCCACACTAAGGGCACTAGAACCATCCCTGAGTTGCAGCAGGGAGAGAGAGTTTTTTCTTGAAGTGGTGGGACTTGAGCTTGCCTTTCGGAGACCTTTGGGAAGTAAAGAGAAAGGGAAGAAGATCAAGCTTTCTAAGAGTCATGAGTAACTTGGCTGTGGTGGGAAGCCATCTAAGCTTGCTGGCAGAATGCAGGGTGTGTGTGGAGACTGGAGAAAGCAGAGCAGCCCATCCAAATGAATACAGAATGTCTAATGGGGAGAGGTTTGCTGTGTGGCTTTAGGTAAACTACTTAAACTCACTGACTTTTAGGGGCATTACCTGCACTATCTAGGCAAGTCGATGTCTGCTCTAGAGTGTAACTGTTGAGATCAAGTGAGATAATTGAACAGAAATTCTTTGTAAATGGTGAAGACTAGTGTGGGGGATGATTATGGTGACACTCAGGGGGCAGATGATTCCAGAACCATGGCATTTTTGTGCCGGAAGTAACCAAGAGCTGTCCTAACCCTTTAAATGTTACCAGTAAAGACAGAAGCCAGATCTGAGGGTACTTGCTCAAGCTGGTTAACAGCAGCACAAGAACTAGAACTCCAGTCTCTTGAGTTGAGGAAAATAAAAGTTGCAAGTCCAAGTCAACTCTCCAGCTAACTGGGTTTCTCATCTTGCACCAGGTCAACCAGGTGAGTTTAGTGAAGACCATGAGACCCAATTCAACTTAATCATGGGAGAGCCCCTGGGGCCCCACAGCATATCAGGTCATCGAGAGCAGGAATTCTGACTCCCAGTGTCATTCTTAGGATCACATTCCATCTCACAAATATTTAAGCAAGGGCATGAGGGCAAGTTGCCAAGTAGTATGATACAAAACAAATGTCTCATTGTGTTTGTTGCTACACAGTGTGTCATTTGTGTGGTCCCCAAACCATCAAGTAACTGACTAGAATGTGACAGTAATTTGTGACAACAGTGACTTTTTTGGGAGGAGGGTGTACTTTTGTGACATGCTCCAAAATTCTGAGAAAGGGTTGCAAAAGAAATATTCAGAAATGTACTAAATGGGCTTAGAAAACTTGTGAACCCTGTCTGAACTTTATTAGATTGTCCCACCACTCACCCGTTTGACATCCGAACAAGGAAAGCATTATTTATAACAGCATGCGTGAAATCCCAGAAGGGATTCTTGAAAGAATTAAAGTGAAAAATCTGTCACAAAGAGACAGCAAGCAGGAAATAAATGATTAGATGAGAAAACATGTAAATCAAAATGTGAATCTTTTTTCCTCTCTCTCTGCTTTAGAGGAAACAAGAGGTTTTTCTTGGCCATTACCAATGCAGGATAGAGAACCTGATACTGATACTGGTTCTCTAAACCTGCATTGCAGAGCAATGTTACGTATCTTAAGAGGTCCCCAGAAGATGCTTGCTGTGTGGATGAAAATGGTCTGTTACAATGTGTACAACTCAGTCCTATCTGTACCACTTGCTGGAAGTGTCACCCCAGGCAAGGTCCCATAATTGCTGGGAACAGTTTCATCATCTGTAGGCTAGAGGTGCCACCATGAGTCCTGATTTCTTTATGGTGTGCTCAGGCAATTAAATGACACTGGCAGTGTATAGATGTTTTCTAAACTATATGGTACATTCCAATTATGGTTTCAGAGAATGACAAGGAGACTAGAAATGCTTTATTCTAGGGGTTAACAATCTTTGAAAATGTGTGTGCCCAAGTGCCCAGCCTTTTCTGGCATATAAACAGAAGAGTCATTTGCCCAGCTCTGCAAGGTGGCAGCAGCATCCTTGCATGGCCCAAAGCAGTCCTCTCCTTGGCACTGCCATGTGGGCTGCCCAGACCTGGTGGAATCATTCTACCCTCATACTGCTAGTCCTCCCAAGCATCTGGAAACATCAGGTCCTCTGTATATATCAGCAGATTCCCTTTCCCAGAGTCCTGGGCACCTGGGGATCACAGAGTCATGAACAGAGTGGATATTCGCCAAGCCAGAAATTTGCTGAGATAGCTGCACCCATATTTATCACCCACACTTTTTCTGGATAGTCAGTGTCTGAGCCACACTGATTGTAGGTTGAGTATCAACCCCGAAAGTGACTGTTGCCATCACCCTCAGACATCAGGCAAGGCCATAAGAGAAGTCTCTGTCCATGGAACCCTGTATGTGTCTCTCTGTGTGTGTGTGTGTGTGTGTGTGTGTAGTTTTATTTATCCAAGGTGATTATCTACCTAATCAACATCCTTGGTCCTATCTGGTTTTGAGAGAAAGAATTGCAAATAATATTTTTTTAAATGATTTTGATCACTCTTTGCCCTCTGTCTCTGTTGCTTGAGATTATGAAGCAATCCTATATCCCTTATGTGTTTATAAACAATTAAACTATAAAGTGAAAATAAGGAAAGCAAACAATGGCCCCCCGCAGCTCCCTTCCACACCTGTTTTCAGGGTGACTGATGGCTCCCTGTTGATCCCTTTCTCTCCAGGTCGGTGGCCACACGATGCTGCCCATTCGCTGGATGCCTCCAGAAAGCATCATGTACAGGAAATTCACGACGGAAAGTGATGTCTGGAGCCTGGGGGTTGTGTTGTGGGAGATCTTCACCTACGGCAAACAGCCCTGGTACCAGCTGTCAAACAATGAGGTGTGCAATGGGTCTGGCCAAGACCCTCCAGGGGGCTGAGATCCCAGAGGCATCCATCGGCCGGGGCCTTGTTTGGGGTTGGAAGGCCATATTAGGACATGATTTTTATGGGGATTTTTGTTGATGACAGCAATTCCCAAGTAGCCTGCTATGTTTCTAAATGTCATGGTCAAAGTATAGTCACTCTAAGAAGGCAAAGCACAGTGCTTGCTGATATGTCCTTGCTCCTCTGGTGATGGGACTAAGGAGTCACTTTAAGAAGGTCATCTGATAAATTAATAGCAGACGTAGCATTCCAGAACCCATGCAGTCCAGGGAGTTTAGTATTGCTCCAATGAAGTTTCAAGGTTCTTTCTCTTTTGAATATTTTACCAGAACATTAATTTCTAGTGAAAAACTCAGGCATTTTGTTTTTTCTATTCCTACTCTTTTGCAAATATGTTTATATCTTAGGCACAGCTTCCTGGTCAGGCACCCCACATGGTTTTCAGATCCATGTCTGTCTTTTTAATCCAGTTCCTTTATCCAATAGCCTGAGAGGTTTCCTGTCAGTCAATGTCTTAACATACAAGTGACTTAGGTTCCATCTCAGACCAGGAAAAACTACAGCATGTGGGAATTCCAGTGTGAGGTTTGGGAGCATTCCATATAAGTTATTTTTCCACCAGTTTTGTGAAATCAGAGTGGCTTGGAAAAATGGATATAAGCCAATGAAATTAAACACAATATAAACTAACCTATAATAATTGCTCTCTTCCTTCTGAGAAAACGAAACCAAGAGTGGGCTTCTTCTGTAAAAGCCCTCTCTTCTGCTCCTTTTTGCACTGACATTTCTTTGATGTGCATTGCTTTTCCTCCTGTCTCATCTTATCTTTGATCTCCGTCCAGGTGATAGAGTGCATCACTCAGGGCCGAGTCCTGCAGCGACCCCGCACGTGCCCCCAGGAGGTGTATGAGCTGATGCTGGGGTGCTGGCAGCGAGAGCCCCACATGAGGAAGAACATCAAGGGCATCCATACCCTCCTTCAGAACTTGGCCAAGGCATCTCCCGTCTACCTGGACATTCTAGGCTAGGACCCTTTCCCCAAGACCAATCCTTCCCAACGTACTCCTTAGACGGGCTGAGAGGATGAACATCTTTTAACTGCCACTGGAGGCCACCAAGCTGCTCTCCTTCATTCTGACAACTACTAACATCAAAGACTCCGAGAAGCTCTCGAGGGAAGCAGTGTGTACTTCTTCATCCGTAGACACAGTATCGACTTCTTTTTGACATTATCTCTTTCTCTCTTTCCATCTCCCTTGGTTTGTTCCTTTTTCTTTTTGTTTTCTTTTCCTTTGTTTGTTTTTTTTTTTTTGGTCTTCCCTGCTTCACGATTCTTACCCTTTCTTTTTAATCAATCCGGCTTCTGCATTACTATTAACTCTGCATAGACAAAGGCCTTAACAAACGTAATGTGTTATATCAGCAGACACTCCAGTTTGCCCACCACAACTAACAATGCCTTGTTGTATTCCTGCCTTTGATGTGGATGAAAAAAAGGGAAAACAAATATTTGACTTAAACTTTGTCACTTCTGCTGTACAGACATCGAGAGTTTCTATGGATTCACTTCTATTTATTTATTATTATTACTGTTTTATTGTTTTTGGATGGCTTAAGCCTGTGTATAAAAAAGAAAACTTGTGTTCAATCTGTGAAGCCTTTATCTATGGGAGATTAAAACCAGAGAGAAAGAAGATTTATTATGAACTGCAGTATGGGAGGAACCAAGACAACCACTGGGATCAGCTGGTGTCAGTCCCTACTTAGGGAATACCCAGAAACTTTCAGCTGGGGAGAATGTATTCCGCACCATCCCCTGAGGACCTCTCTGAGGAGTAAAAAGACTACTGACCTCTGTGCCATGGATGATTCTTTTCCCATCACCAGAAATACCAACATGCAGGAGAGAGCAAAGATGGCTTCCGTGAGACACAAGATGGCGCATAGTGTGCTCGGACACAGTTTTGTCTTCGTGGGTTGTGATGATAGCACTGGTTTGTTTCTCAAGTGTTATCCACAGACCCTTTGTCAACTTCAGTTGAAAAGAGGTGGATTCACATTCATAGATCATTTCAGGGTCAGGTGGGAAAGCCAAGAACTTGGAAATGATAAGACAAGCTATAAATTCGGAGGCAAGTTTCTCTTATATTGAACTTTTTAGATCTCACTTCCCTCCGACCCCTAACTTCTATGCCCACCCGTCCTTTTAACTGTGCAAGCAAAATTGTGCATGGTCTTCGTCAATTAATACCTTGTGTGCAGACACTACCGCTCCAGACGCCGTTCCCCTGATAGGTAGAGCAGATCCATAAAAGGTACGACTTATACGATTAGGGGAAGCTAATGGAGTTTATTAGCTGAGTATCACTGTCTCTGCGTTGTACGGTGGTGATGGGTTTAATGAATATGGACCCTGAAGCCTGGAAATCCTCATCCACGTCGAACCCACGGGACTGTGGGAAGGGCAGAATCAATCCCTAAGGGAAAGGAAACCTCACCCTGAGGGTATCACATGCACTCACGTTCAGTGTACACAGGTCAAGTCCCTTGCTCTGGGCTCTGGTTGGGAGAGTGGTTTCATTCCAAGTGTACTCCATTGTCGGTATGCTGTTTTTGTTTCCTTCACTCCATTAAAAAAGTCAAAATACAAAATTTGGCACAGCATGCCAATGGGAGGCTGTGCCCAGACCAAGAATTGGAAGTGTGCTTCTGGGCACAGTCATCAGTTTTGCAAAAAGAGGGGGTAAATTTAAATAGAAATTTACAGTTGTTTGAATGGTCAGATATACCAAGAAAGAAGAATATTTCTGTTCCTCAAGAAAACTTGCTACCCTCTGTGAGGGAAATTTTGCTAAACTTGACATCTTTATAACATGAGCCAGATTGAAAGGGAGTGATTTTCATTAATCTTAGGTCACGTTATTTCATATTTGTTTCTGAAGGTGCGATAGCTCTGTTTTAGGTTTTGCTTATGCCTGTTAATTACTGGAACACGTTGTTTTTCACTAAAGGCTATGAAAGCCGATTCTCAAAAATTCAAAAGTATAAATTAACAGAGGACAAAAGGAAATCCAGTAGCATCTGCAGTCAAGCAAGGGAGTTGACAAGATGAACCTTACATACATTCAAGTTATATGCTGGCCTATGAGAGATGAGAGTTGGGTTGTTTGTTCTTTGTTGGTGAAAAAAAAACCCTCCAGAATACACATAATAACATAATGAAAGCCATATCTCCATGATATATACGTGCACGTATGTATCATATTGAGGACCCATGGTACTGTCAAAACACTGTAGAACTCTGTGAAGCAGTAAGGAAGGGGCAGATTTGTACAAAACCTTTTCTAGATTCCATCAGCAATGACCTGAAAACCAACACACGTTTGTCACTCTGCATGTCTGGCCAGCTGCTCTCAGGGGAGAAGCTACAAGCTATTTATTTTATTTTAAGAGAGCAAAATAGGTAATAACTTAAGGGATCAAATTCAAGGAGGGCTGCACAGTTTTAGAGCAAAGATTTGTTTAAGGCAAAGAGACTTTGGGAGCATTCCATTCCAGTTTTGTCTTTTTTTCTCTGAAAGAAAAAAGCAAAAAATAAAATAAAATTTCACTTATACCTTCTGACAAGTCCCTACAGGTCTTGAAATGAAAGGTTCTATGCAAGTGCAAAGTTGTATAGTTATTTATATTGCCGATTATTATTATTATTACTATCTCTGTTGTCTTAAGAGTGTGTGCTGATCTCAGAGACGTCTCCTATTGAAAGAATATCAGATTGCTTTTAAAGTATCTGAAGGAGCCACAGATTATCTGAAAATATTCATTGCTGTTCCTGTGCTACCTTATTTTTCATGGTCTGTTTTTAGAAGACAAGCATCCTCGTCCTAAAATGTAATGATCACCAAATATGGCCTTCCAACAAATTTGTGGAAAACTGCAGCAGTAACAGTGACAAACCTATTCACTAGCCCAAACCCAGTCTGACAATCATTTCTATTTTGAAGTCATTTAATAGTTTTCCAAGCACTTTCCATGTGTATTAGCAAATTATTCCTATTTTTTATAGGTGAGGACATTAAGACTTAGAGACACTCAGAGGCACACTAGAAGTCTCCAGCCTAGCTTCCAGCACCACTGGGACTGAATCCAAGTACTCTCACTCTGAACTTCACGGTTCTGTCCATTAGAGACTCTAAAATACAAACAAGTAGTTCGGGAAAGAAAACATGCTAACACATTCACAAAACAGTATATGAAGTTAGAAGAACAAAAGGAAATACAGGAGACGACAAGCAGCTGAGATGTTGTGATATATATTCATGCTCTTAGCTTCAGCTAAATCCTTATACACTGACTGAACCAATATCATAATCAGGCTTACTCAGAAAACACTTTGAACTATGCTGTAAAAGATTATATCAGAATTCATATTATACATGTGCTCACATCAGCGCTACCTGTGATATTTTCATGTATTTATATATGTGTTAAATGCTTGATTTATACATACACAAATGCACATACATAGTGCATTTGTGTGTTTGTGTATAAATTTATTGGCACACAATAATAGAGGTAATTATAAGTAGGGTGCGTGAGGTATTAATAATTTGCTTAAAATATGCTAAATAACCAAAACTGTTTAATGTCATGTTGCTGTTAGTGCTTCCATTCTCCACGTGGGTAAGACTACATCACACTTTTCAACTCTGTGCAGTACTGCATGGGTGGAAGACATATTTAAGATAATGTGCTTCCCAAAACAACTGAATAAAAGCCATCCCACTACATTGAGTGCTTTCTCTGGCTCCTTGCAAAGGAAGATACGGACTGAAATAGATCACTTTTTGTAAAGGTCCAGGAAAGGAATATCACTTTCTTTTCATCTTTCTGCACGTTTGTATTATGCTCACCTTGTCTTTGTCCCACTGTGACCCCTTTACACCTGAGTTCAGAGTTCAAGCATTCCAAATATAAATTGGAATGTTGGCAGCCCAGTGTCTTGAAGGTCAATGGCAAGTGGTCCAAGACCCCACAGCGAGATAAGCAACTCTTAGAAATTCCCGCATCTGAGAGTGAACGCACCAACTAGCAGTATAGAATGCTGTCCTTTTCAAAGCATCCCGACAGCAGGATTACCTGGTCAAGAATGAACTTTCTTTGAATCTTTCTTTTCCCAAAATGGACAGCCTGTAATACCAATAACATTGTTGTATCTGACTAAATAAATGACTGCATATATACACACATACCCTCAATTCCCTTGCTTCCCCTTTTTCTTTTTCCTCCCCTGTCTCAGGACTTTTATTTTCAATGTTGACCTTTGGTTTGGCCATATATCACTGTTACAGGAAATCCCGTGAGAGGAATGGCTAGTGACCCAACTCTCCAAATGTCTAAGTTAGCAGTTACAGCTGATTTTTTATGATGCATAATTGGAATATGGAACCTCTGAGGTTGTGATAGCTTGTACACGAATTTCAAACGTTACTGTAAAGAATGAGGGGTGGGAGGCATTTATAGTTAGAAACGACAGTGCAGGAAGGGGTATTTTCTTGTTGTCAGAGCTGGAATGAATCACTGCTGCTCAAGTCAAAGGTTCTTGAATATCCTTAGTTTTTGCATTTCCCTTTCTGTCCCTTTGACCTTTATTTATTTAATTATGTATTTATTTATTTATATACTTTTGCTCCATTCATCACAAACACAAAGCAAAGCAAAAAAAAACATATATATATATAAATATATATCTTTATATGTGTTGTTGGCAAAACACTGTGATTTTCACAACCACCGCCAAGCAACTACTTTGCCATCTTAACATACGTCTCAGGAGACGAAATGAGAAAGATGGGGATGTCATTTTTTAGTCTATGCGTTTGAGGCCAGGTCCATGTTTATTTTATTTCTTTAGTCTATGCATTAATGAAAATGATCCCGAGTGGAGGTTAGCTGAATGTTCAATGTACTGGAGCAAGCATCATAAAAGCTGCTAGTAGCCATGTGTTTGAACAGGGAAAAAAAGTTAGACAAAATGAAATGTAAAGGCCTATATCTTGCAGCTTGTATATCTTACTATTGCTTAAACATGTATAAAACAGCTGGAAATGTTTTAAATACAAGGTCTTTGAACTAAATGTGGATTTTAAATATGTAATCCCTTGACAAATGACCAAATTATGGTGAACTATTGCTCCCTGCATTCTTTGATCATTACCTATGACTTACAAATCTGCCTGGAGATGTGGACATTCTGCATTTGCTTCTGTATCTGGAGAGATGTTTGTATATATCCAGGCTATATACACACATATTTCAATATCTCTCTGCAGGTATATTTCCCCTTCAATTGTGACCTGGTATTTGGAACTCTCCTTTTCATTTGGTTTATCTTCCTTTTAATGTGATGTCTCTGTGCTAATACTTACCAGTTCTTGTTTTGCAATCTGTTTTGAAGTCCATTGCTTTACTAAGACCCACTGCATCTTGGCTGATTTCAAAGTGACACCTGAATACAGTGTTTAAAAAAAAAAGTTTTGTTTGTAAATCATGTGACCAGCTTCTCTCAACCTGACATGGAAAGTCTCTTGTACTACAGTGTATTTAATAAAAATGATGTCTTACAATAAATAACATACTCCTAAAGAGAGACTAAAAATGACATCATGATTATGTTTTAAAGAATGTATAGAATTTCCAGAAGCATGGTGTTCTCTTTATTCTATATGTATATATGTCTGTTTTTGGTTTTGGTTTTGTTTAAAGACAGGGTCTTGTAATGTTGCCCAGGCTGGAGTGCACTGGCTATTCATGAGCATGATCAGAGCTCACTACAGCCTCAAACTCCTAGGCTCAAGCCATCTTCCTGCCTTAGCCTTCTGACTCCCTGGGACTACAGGTGCACACCATGGCATTCAGCTATACGTACGTATTTTTAGATGTGGTCACTGCAGATGCCTGCAGTAGTCATTAGTTGAAGGCAATGAGAGTAAGTGATCAGTCATAGGAACAAGTTTCCTGGCTGATCTACCCATAATTCTGGTATTTTCAACTTATACCTTGGATAACTAGAACGTCACTGTCAGTTGTTTACTTTCTGCAGCCATATAAATGCCCTATCCGTCCAATATGGTAGCCTCTACCCACATGTGGCTAGTGGACATTTGAAATATGGCCAGCGTGACTGAAGAACTGAATTTGAATTTTTATTTAATTTCAATTAGCTTATATTTAAATAGCCACATATGGCTATTTAAATGGTTACCATTTAAGTGGTTACCATGCTGGACAGCACAGAGCACGAAGACAGGGTTTTGAAAAGATTAAACTTTAAAAACATCCCAAGAGATGTGTTTATTGTGGCACCCTAGGGTTGGGGCCGCTTTGAGGATCTAATGACTCAGGAGTAGAAATAACTGAATTAAAATGCCACACTCTCTTGGCCTCTCTATGCTCCAGTGTTTCTAAAATCATAATGGTGGGGGAGGACAAAATTAGGGTGGGTTAGCTGGGGTCCTGTAGGCTGTCTTTTCCTTCCCATCAGAGTGGTCTGCCCACATTCTTGCTCTCGGTATTTCACAGTCAGACTTCCCAGGGTCTGGCCTCTTCTGAAACCTCTGAGAGGCACACTAGCAAATGGGCAATATTCCTGCCATACGCTTGGCAATAGATGCTCCAAAACTCAGAATCCTGAGAAGCATTGCCTCCTGAATACCTCATCTCAGTGGTGCAGATATGTTTTCCTTGAGCTAAAAAAAAAAAATACGATCAGGTGAAAACTCAGCAGAGACTTGGAAAATGCAATGCCATATAAGGGGCAAAATGACTTGTCCAAAAATCCAAATAAAGTTATATGTCCCTGTGGCATCATAGTGTACATCCACTCAAAGAAACTGGATTGAAGGAGGAAAGTGTAAGGACTAATGCCTTGGCCAGCCACAACCCAATTGAACTATTAAAGACCCTGAATTTTACCAAACAACATTTGTATATTCCTGTTATTCATATAATTATAATGGTATCGGTTTAAATTCCAAACCTGAAGTTGTGTTCCAGAGCCCTCTCTTGCTTCCCCGTGTATACCATCTGGCCTTTCCTCCCAACACGCTCCTTCCATGCATGCATAAAGGTGCCTATTTTCTTGGATGAGAAAAATGCTTCTGAAGTATTATTGTTAATAACATTATTGAACAGACATACTTACTTTTAGAATAAATCAACCAACAAAATGAATGCTTCCCCTGTGCCAGGGTGTTTATACATGTGTATTACTATCTGCTGGCTGCTGGAATAAATTACTACAGACCAGGTGGCCTAAGACCACAGAAGTTTGATTTCTTACAGTTCTGGAGGCCAGAAGTCTGAAAGTAAAAGGTGGGCAGAGCTGCACTCCCTCTGAAGGCTCTGTGGGAGAATATGTTTCTCACCTGTCCCAGCCATTAGTGGCTCCAATTGTTCCTTGATCAAATTACCTCCCCCTCTTCATGTGACTTCTCCTCTGGGTATCTGTTTTGAAAGGATATGTGGGATTGCCTTTAGAGCTCACCCAGAAAATCCAGGTGCCTTCTCTCAAGATCCTTAACTTCAGCACAGCTTTTGCCACATAAAGTAATATTCACAGGTTCTGGAGATTAGGAGGTGGGTATGTCATTTTTTGGAGGGGACACTACTCAACCCACTACAGAATCTTTACTCATCCAACCCTTACACCTATCCCAGGAGGCAGGTACTATTATTATTCCCAGTTTACAGATGAGAAAATTGAGTCACTAAGTTAAGAAAACTGCCAAAATCTATCAAAAGAAGTTGACCAATAAAAATAATGCCTAGTATTTGCCAAGGAGTTTCATACATTAACTATGAAACTGAAGACTGCAGGGGGCTTAGCTCCAGGCAATAGGCAGAAAGGCGGTACCTGACTGGCATAGAGAAGCGTTGAAATTAGGGTCTGGCTGGCCAGATAACTTAGGTCCAGGGTCTGGGCTCCATGCTGCCAAGAGACTGGTATGAAGCAATTCAGTGGCCCAGCCCTGTAGGAATGAGGTTATTAGCAGGAGCTAAAGCCAAGATTCAAAGTTCAAGGAGACTTGACAGTCTCTAGCAAATTGAACCCGGTGTGTGAGGAAGAACTTTGGTCATTAGGGACAGGATGAGAATTTGGCCACTAAGCTTAAGCAAAAAGTCACGCCAGGAAGGTATTTCTGGTGCCTTCCCATGGCCCAGTGCTTATGTTGGTGCAAAAGCAATTTCGGTCTTTGCCACAACTTTGGCAAAAACCACAATTACTTTTGCACCAACCTAATACTAATCCCACCCACCTTCACTCATTAGTCTAGGGGACGATGAATCTGCAGGTGAAGGGAGCTGCTTAGCAGTAGAGTTCTGGAGCTAGTAAAGGGGTGATGTTAGAATTCAGATTTAGGAACACTTCTCTTGCGATAAGCATCCTGCAAATTTGGCCATTTGCCAAATGCCAGGGTCTTTGGTAGCCGCTCATGGTTAAAGCTAGATGAGGCCTAAAGGTCCCATGCTCCACCTGCCATCTACAGGTAGTGTTTTATAATAAAAGCAAGGCTCAGGCCAAATTCTTCCAAACAAGCAACGATTTATTACCAAGATTACGTGTTGGCTATATAAACCAGAAACTTCCCCTTCCTGTCTTTGCATAGAAGTAACACCCAAAGGCGGATTCAGGGACATGCTAATGCCAGGACCAGCCCAGCCTCTATTGAAATCAAGTGACAAGGGAGGGATACACAGAGGACCCAGAGAGCTCTGGCCACTGAAAACCACACTCCTGGCATTAGAGAGCTGGGCTTGCTACATTCTTCTGCCTCCTCCATGTAGGAATGACAGCATCTGTACGATACTTCTCATACTCAATCTTCAGAATCAGTCATTTCTGCCAAGAAATAAGCAAAACTATAATATATTTTATGCAAATTAGCACACTTTCTGATATTGATAAAAAATTTTAAATGCCAATTAACTACTAAAGTCACTTTTCATGTGGGCTGTCCTTATGTTGATCACCGCTAGGATATAAGGATCAAACTTGCCCATGAACATCACAGTATATACACCCATTTTAAAGTCAATTGCCACACAAATGATATAACAATTTCCATAAAGACAACTATACTCTTCTCTCCTATACTAGATAAGGATTCGTAGCTACCAAACCCAAATGTGCAAAATGTCACTTGCTTCATTTCCTTTAAATCAGGCTACGTCTGACTCTAGCCCACATTCTACAGGAGCAAAATCAGCCTCAGCCATCATTTGTTGTGCCTCCCTTTCATGAATCCCAAGGCCCATTGATACCTAGGAAATATGAGAAAGGTCTCTAATGTCCTGTCCATCATGATCTAGTGGCTCTGGTGCCACAACTGAGAGCTCTGTGTCTAGGACAGAATGTTCCCAGACACATCACAGCCATTTCCCCAAAGTCTACCTCTTCCCTGTGCAATTTGAGGACTCCACACCCACCAATATCCCTAGGCTTGGGAAAATCTGTTACGAATCCTACCTCTACTCTTTGCTCTTTCCTTTTCCCTATCTAAATCATCTCCTAAACACACAGTTAGATCATTGTTCAACTTTTTTTTTTTTGAGATGGAGTCTCTCTCTGTCACTCAGGCTGGAGTGCAGTGCCACGATCTTGGCTCACTGCAACTTCTGCCTCCTGGGTTCAAGCGATTCTCCTGCCTCAACCTCCCAAGTAGCTGGGACTACAGGTGCATGCCACCATTGTATTTTTAGTAGAGACAAGGTTTCACCATGCTGGCCAGGCTGGTCTTGAACTCCTGACCTTGTGATCCACCTCCCTCGGCCTCCCAAAGTGCTAGGATTACAGGTGTGAGCCACCACGCCTGGCCCATAGTTCAGCATTTATATTATTACGACAATGCAAGTGCTATTTGGAGCTTAGGCATACAATAAACCATGACTATTTACCTTTTCTCTATAATATTTTGTTTTCTTTGGAGTTAGTAATTGACTTTTGTTTGCTTGCTGTCTTGGTTTTGTAATTATCATTATTCAGACCCAGACTCTTAGCTATTTGCCAAATCTCCTCTCAAAACATTCCAGTGTATTATGTATTTTATCTATTTAATATGCATGGACAATGTCTCCTGTAGCATACTCATATGATGCAATCTAGACAGGTGACCTTTCAACCTGTTGCAGAGTTATCATCTGGGATCTTTCTTTTCCAGAACTTGGATTTTTCCCCTTTTGTTTCTGCATATATGTTCTTCCTTCCTCCTTTCTCTATCCTATGTCTTCCTTTTCTTGGTTTACCTCTTAGTTTGGTGGAACACATCCTCCAATAGCTTTCTAAGAAAAGGCAAATGAAATTTTTGAAGACCTGTTCTGTCTGAAAATGCTTTTATTGTATCCTCTAACTTAACTAACAGTTTGGCTGAATATAGAAATTAGTTTAAATTTTTCCTTAAAATTTTTGAAGGCATATATTGATTGTCTTTTAACTTCAAGTATGGCTGCTAAGAGGTCCAAAGTCTCTTGATTCTTGATTTTTAAAATGTGATCTTTTTTTTTTTTTTCTTAATCTGGCAATTTTAAAGAATATTTTCACACAGTATTTTGAAATTTTATAAAGATGTGTCTTAGGTTTATGTTAATTTACTGTGCTGGATACTTCAATGAGCCTTTTCCATCTAGAAATTCTTTCTTTTTTTTTTCAGTTCTTGGAAATTTTCTTGAATTATGTTGTTGATTAATTCTTCTCTGTGTTTTCTCTCAGAAAATTCTATCATTTAAATACTAGACCTCCCTTTTAGACTGGACTTCAAATGCTTACTTATGTCTTCTATTTTATAGTAGAACTTTTAAAAATTTGAGTTCTGGCATTCTCATTTTTTTTTCTTTAAAAATGACTTTTCATTTCACTTACAATAAAACTTGAATTCCCTGTCATGGTCTATAAGGTCACAAAAGATCTGCTGTTGAAAATGTCTGAAACTTCTCCTCATACCATATTTGCTTTCTCTCACCTATATTCCAATAACTTTCATCACTCAAGAATTTTGCATATTCTATTTCCCCTTCTGGAAAAGTTCTTATTCCAATTTTTTAACTGACCTTTTTCATATTGTAGATTTTGCAATACTGTTTTTAAGAAGCCTTCCATAACATCATAAACAAAATATTCTTTCCAGTTATTCTTTTCCTAGTACTCAGCTTTTTGCCTTTGAAGTCTTTATTCATTCTTTCAATAAGTGTAAGTGGAAATCTCTTAGTTTTTTTCTGCATGGAAAGGTGCTAGTATAGCCGAAAACGGAATCCCGGCTCAGCAGTCATTTTCCTCCAGTCTTTGGAAATATTATTTTCATTGACTGGCATTGGTTGTTGTAAAAACAATATTCTCATTCCTCTTTAGATCATCAGCCATTTCTTTCTAGCAGCATTTTAGATTTTCTCTTGGTCTTTCATATTATTTAGTTTCTTTACAATGTGTGTAGGTGAACATATTTTGTACTTCTTATGTGGGACTTAATTTTGATCTCAAGACTTGGGTCTTTGCTCAGTGCTGTTTCATCCCACCATTCTCTTTTGGATATATTGCACAAGGGCATACTATGTTTTTTCTTCTAGAATTTGAGATAGATATGTGTTGGAGCTCCTCATTCTCTCCTTCATTTCTCCTCTCTTGTTATTTTTCTTTGCAGCACTTAGGGATTTTTCTTCAAAGGAGCCTTTCAGACCTCTTCTCTCATGAACTGTGTCTATTCTGCTGCTTAATTTACTGAGTTTACCTCTTCTTTCATTTACTGTATTTTTCATTCTTACAATTTCTATTTGGATCTTTTTCAAAATTGCCAAGTCCTTTTTCAAAATCTTTTCATAACATCTCATGGAGTCATGTCCTACCTACATCTCTTTGGAGATTTTAAATACTTTGAGTTGAAAGTCTCCAACAGGTTGCTGTAGTCTCACTAGGGTAGAGGTTGTAGCAGGCTTAATGGTAGCCCCAACAAAGGCATTCCATGTCCTAATCCCTGGAACCTGGCGACACTATACAACAAAAGAGAAAATGTTTTCACCATACATGGGAAAAGATGTGACTAACGCGAGGATCTTGAAAACTGGATTTTATCTGAATTGTTCAGGCGCAACCTAAATGCAATCACATGCAGCCTTATAAGAAAAATGCAGCAGGCATTTTGAGATACATTGAGGAGAGTGTGATATAAAGACAGAGGCAGAGATTAGAGTGATGTTACTATACACAAAGGAATACCTGGAGCCAGTGGAAGCTGGAAGAGGCAAGGAATGGACTCTCCCCTAGAGCTTCAGAGGGAGTGTGGTCCTGTCAACACCTTGATTTTAAACTTCTTTATTTTAAGCCACCCAGTTTGTGGTCCTTTGTTATAGCAGTCACAAAAATCTAATATGGCCACTAATTATCCAATTTTTAAATCTGACTAGTCTCACCTTCAGGTTTTGTCATTTCTGTTTTTTTAGTGTATCTTCGGCGAGATTGTTTTTTTCCTGGAAATCTTGTCTATACCTTGAATTGTGAAGTTGTCCCAGGTGACAGTTTACCATTTTTTTCCCTCCCAGGGAGCTCCAGGTTTGAATCATTCCTGGTCTGTATGATACAACATTTGAGTGTTGTATCAGCACAGAACCATACAACCACACAACACAGAGTAGTGTGAATTTGGCCTACACCCATTCACAGTGTAGTGTGAGGTTTCTGATCTCTCAAGGGTGACTGTATTTCCACCCTGTAGTGAATTCTTATCATTTTATGCTGCCTTGACATCCATTTTGAATACAAGTTTTAACTTTCACAAGGCTCAGTCACCCTTGACAGTTTCCAGTTCTACACAAAACCCAAATAGCTCAAGCCGGTGGACAGAAATAATAATTTAGAAACATCTCTCTTATCTAGAAGACTGGGCTCCCTGCTTTCCCACAGCTTCCTTTAAATGGACCATCAGGCAGTTGCCCATGAATTTAAAGTACTCCACTCCCTATTACCCTGAGTGTGCTGCTAGTTGCTAGATGTGCTCTGCCAGACTCATCATTTCTGGGTTGATTGCAAGACCCGGGGATGGAGGACTGCTCTCCTGAATGATTATGCCCTCCTTGCCCAGGATGTGTAAATAAAACTCTCTGAACTTGTTTTCTGTTGTACTGGGTATTGAATGTGCACCTTCCATCTGAAGAACTAGGAGCTGCCCTAGGCTGGCCTTTCCCCCGGATGCCAGCAGGAACACAAGGTCAGCCCCCCAGGGCCAGAGCCATGGTCAGGCAGGTATAAAGTGAACATGGGTCAGACAAGAGCCACAAGAGTATCTGACATTAGAAACAAGTTTTCTGTGTGAGGGAACCCTGGTGATAGTTTGGAAAACTAGGTATGAGGCTATTCACCAGGTAGAAGTATCCCTTAAAGGCACTGTAAATGCCATATCCAGCTCCCCTTCATTTTCCATTTAGGTGAAGTGGCTAGCTTCTCTGGAACCCCAATTTAGCTGAGGGCTCTCAAAACACAATCACAGATCAGGGAGGCCATCATACTTCTTACTAACTTCCTGAGCAGATGAACAAAGTTTTTATAGTCTATCCTCATTGACATGGCACCTTGACTTTATATAAGAATCCCAGTCCTGACACCTAATCCATGAGCTATCTATGACTCCAGCCACAGAACTGTCTGTCTACTTTTAAGATCCCTTTGGGTCACAAGGATTTGTCTTTAAGACTTTAATTTGGGTTTTAGTTTCATTTGGCGTGTGGAGGTTTTACTTCTTTTAAAATTTTTTTGTTATGTTTTATCAAGCATATGTATGTGTTCATAGCAAGATGCAAGACTTACATACCTCTTCTGTCTTCTGTCTTCCCTGGAAATCTCAAAGCTTCCTTCTCCAATTTGAAGTGAGGATTCCCTTCACAGTCTTATTTTTCTGGCAAGGTGAATATTAGAACAATTCTGTTTTCACTGTGGATCAGATCACTTGGGACAATTTGAAAGATACAGAACCCAATGTTTTACCCTGAAAAAGTTAGTTTCTATTATAGGGTGGGCCAAGGTATAGGTATTTTCTGCAATGTCTTTAGGTGTTTCCACTGTGCAGCCACAGTAGAAAAATATTTTCCTGAGATAATAAAGCTCAGCCCCAGAATTCCAACCATCAAAACAGAAAACATTGTGCTGGACCTAGGACTTGACTCAACAGAGAATGGGCCAACCAGAGAAGGGCCTAGAACTTTAGTTAGAGAATGCTGCATAGACCACAGGATACATCTTAGAAGCAAGCAGGTCATCAAGTATCCAAGGAGTTGAGTAGTGAACCACATGTTCTCACAGGAAATACATTTCCTGCAAAGCTCCATGGAAACCTGTTATGGTCCAATGCTTAAAGTATTCAATCAATCAATCCTCATCACCGAGAAAGCTAGAACTCCAGCTCTCCATTATGCCAGAAGAACAGTTGGTAGTTCTCCAGCCATCAATTCTGATGGGGCTTATCCTGCTGCTGCTTGCTGTATCGTGCAAGCCTTGGACCCAGCCTGTGATCATGAAAACTGAGCTGGCAAATCCAGCTGGAGTTCAAGTCCTGACACAATGCTATTAAATCCTAGCCCCTGATCACTGCAGGGCAGGGATCAGTACTTCCTTAATCATGCAACAGAAAAGCCCCATAGTTCCAAAGTCAGGGTCCCACTTCAAGAGTCTAAATTCAGTTCTATAAGATTGCTGTGTGCAATCTCAGAGAGTCATGGACGGCAGGGTACACACGTACCAGCTTCTAATCCTGAGCCCACGAGCTTTTCCTCAAATGATACTACTTCATGATCAGCCCAGCAGATTTGTCATATATACTATCTAGGCTTCTCTCCTTGCTTATATGAAGATATTGTATTTTTTACTTATTAATTTTTATTACTGGTTCTTACTTGTAGGAAGTAAGCTTCATTCAGGCAGATATCGCTTTTCACTGTCTAGGATGGCTCCTAACACATAGATGGTACTCAATATTTTTGAATGAGTGAAATGAATGACTGGGTGGATGAATGAATAGATGAAAATTAAGGAGCTTGAGATAGGAAGTTAAGAACCTAGGTAGGTAGTTATGGTAGACTGATGTCTCCAATATGCATAGAAAAGGAGGTATAGCCTTAGGCAAGTCATCCTAACCCTCTTAAGATTTACATTCCTCATGCATAAGCTACATAATAGAGGCTTTGATTTCTAGATTAAAATGAGCTAATGCATCATTTGAAACCATTAAAAAATTTATTATAAATGACTTCAAATGCTTCCATATGTAAACACAGCCACTTTCTTTCTGACTCACTTAGGAGAGCCAAGACAAGCCTCCAGAAAAAGCGAGGTTATCATGAGTCAAAATAGAAAAAGCTGGGTGTTTCTTTTCAAGTGGACAATTGAGTTACCCTGGTTGTTTCCCTTTAAAAAAGAATTCATTATCTTCAGAATTAAGAGATTAAGAGTTCCTTAGGGAGGGAGCACCCTCCCCCATACTTGCTGGAAATGAGGTAACGACCAAATAAAAAAGCGTAAAAATAATTATTTGACATCTTTAAGATGATCATTATTTTGCTTCATTCAACTTAACCAGGGAACTTTTCTATTGTGGACTTTCAAAAAGCACTTTGCAAAATTAACACTTTCTTAGTTTGGGGACAGAACGGTTTTGCAGACAAATAGAGGCCTTTCTGTCTTTGGGTTTAATAAAGGTTGAGATGTTGGGGTGTGGGTGGAGGAAGTGAATGGGTCAGCATGGCTTCCTTGGGGCTCCCATAGCATCACAGAACATTAGAGTTGGAAGGGTCATAAAAGGTAATCTGTGGCTACCCTTGCTTGGGGTCCAGCCCTAGTGAGAGGAAATTTATTTGAACTTCTCCCCTGCAACCCCAGTCCATTTGCATTTTGCAAAGCCTTCTTAGCAAGAACTTCCTGGTGCTGAACCAACATCTGCGTCCTCGGAACTACTGCCCATGGGCTCAGATCTCCTGGGAGTGCACAAAATAACTCTTATTCATTATTACTTGGCATCCCTTTATGACTCCCTTGTGCTCTTCCTCCCACATCCATCCCCCTACTGAAAACTCTGTATGGCTTGCCAAATACCCAAAAGAAAGGGCAAGGAACCAAGCTCTGCCTGGTAACACTGACATCCAGCCCACGGTTCTTAGTTACTCTTGAGGGCATCAGCTTATTTTCCCTCACCTGTTCTCCAGGCTTCATCTCATTCTCAGCAAAGGGGAAAATAACATTTTTTAAAAATATTATTGAGATGAAGGTTTGCTCTGTTGCCAGGCTGGAGTGCAATGGTGCAATCTTGGCTCACTGCAACCTCCGCCTCCCAGGCTCAAGCGATTCTCCTGTATCAGCCTCCCGAGTAGCTGGGATTACAGGCATGTGCCACCGCACCCCGCTAATTTTTGTATTTTTAGTAGGGGTGGGGTCTCACCATGTTGAGCAGACTGGTCTGGAACTCCTGACCTCAGCTTCCCAAAGTGCTGGGATTACAGGCACAAGCCACTGTGCCCCGCCAGGAAATCAAAGGGATCAAAGGGATTAGAGAAGTTAGAGGCAGGTGTGTCTCCTCTTCTCTAGGAAAATATAATCTCTCAGTGTTGTCAACATGACAAATAGAGCTCCTCATAGCCCTTGTATTTGAGGTCCATCTGAAATCTCCCTGGGTGCTGTGAAGAACCCGTAAAATGAGGGAATATGGGTGATCCACGTGATAGCAAGCTTTGCCATCCCTAACGAGGGAGAAAAAAATCGGCGAAAGGCATTGCTTATTTGCCTGCCTAGCCAAGGATTGGGCGGGAGGGTGCTGTTTGTTAACCTAAAGATAGCCTTAATTTTATTTGTTTTTCCTAAGGAACATCTGCTTGTACAATGATTAGGCATTGGCATTCATTAACACAGGAAGTAAAATGTCTGAAGTTTGTGCCACCGGGAGTGTTCAGCAACAAAATAAGACAGACACTCGTGGGAGAGATTTGAGTGCATTTTTCACACTGTGCAAAGGTTCATCCTAGAAAAACATGTAGTATTCAAGGGATGCAGCCATTGAGAATGCGGTTTGCTGTAGCTATAGGAGGTCACTTTCCCTAGAACTGTGGGCACGGGATGGATGATGAGGGACATTGACCATGTGCATGCACCGTGTGAATGATGCCTAATGAGGGCTGGCGGCAGCAACATCTCAAAAAATACTTTCTGAATAAATGAATAAATTTCTCAGGCACACAGTGAAAAGAATGCAGTACATTCTGTGCACTCCTTCTACATTCCAGAGTGCATTTACATATATTATGGTATTTTCCTTCTTAACCTTCCTATGAGGACCAGAGCAACCCCCTCACCCCCAGCCCCTCACCCAGCTTCCGCTTTTTACAAATAAGTATATGGTCCTTATCCTATGAGTTAGTGCTAGAACTAAGGTGAGTTTCTTAACTCTTGATAGAATTCCAGGACACGCAGCCATTTGGCTGATGACTTTTAAGGAAAACTCTCTCTATTGTTAGTTCTCATTTGTGATATCAGAATACAGTGTCAATACAGCCTAAATGCCCTGCCCCCTTCCACCCTCATCTCTTGGTTAAAAAGAAAAAAGTGGTGCTATCAAAAATCGGATTTTTGAGCACGTTAAGGATTACAGGACAACTGGGACAAAAGAAAATAATATCATTTAAAAGTCAGTTATTCCATTTCCCAATCTCCTCTTCTAGACTTCCAGCAATAGGTATTTGAATAGACATTCGAAAAAGTGTAAATCACAGCAATCAATTGAAATTTTCTTGTTAATGAAATGAGAGAATTGAACGCCTCCACAAAGAAGTGATGTGGCATTATCCCTCTGAGGAGAAAGTGGAACTAGACTTCAGACTCCAAGGATGCAGGAATTTCTAGATTCCACTTAAGAGATCAGTCCCAAAGAACAAGGCAGAGAATGAAAAGGAATCTGGGAAAGCTGTCAGCAGCTCCCCACTCTATCCCCCATGTGGGTCCCCACACCCTCCTCAGTCTTGGAGCTGTACTAGCTCAACCCTGTCAGGTTACACAAGAAGCTGAGGCAGAGAAAGCTCATGAAGAGTGCTGTAGCTATGAGTCAGGGCTGAGTCTCATCCCCAGGTTTCTTAACTTCCAGAGCCCCTACAGCTGTGGGCTCTAACTATCTATTTCACTGACTCCCTGCAGCTGAAGCAGCCATTGTCATCACTGGGGGCTGTGTGTGTGTCCACAAGCATTCCCTATTTTCTTATCTAACCCCTTCCCTCAAAACAGAGTTCAATACCTATAACCAAGCACCATAAAGGTGTGCATTAACATTTTATGTCTACAAAATAAAATTAAAGCCTTTCTCCTAGCCTTGCTGTGTCTCAACAGTAAGGATGGAAAACCAAACTACATTGCTCCCTAAATTGCAGTGGTCCCCACCAATTTCCAGAGTCCACTTAAGAGATCAGTCCCAAAGAACAAGGCAGAGGATGAAAACGAATCTGAGAAAGCTGTCAGCAGCTCCCCACTCTATCCTCCCCATGTGGATCCCCACCCCTCTCCTCAGCCTCAGCCTCAGCCTTGGCTTTTGGAGCCCACTGCCCTCTTGGGACACCGTCCTCCCTCCATCATCCTACCTACTGGCTCCGCATCCCTCTCACGTCTTTTTAAAGAGATATTTTGGGAAGCAGCACACGCACATCCAGACACCAATTACTCAATCTCCCAGCAAGTATGGAGATGATGGAAGTATAGCCCTCCGATCTCCTAGCAACAGCATGGGGGAGGCTGCAGCGAGAGCTGGTTGCCCAGCACCACCCTGCGTAGAAGGCATTTGCGCATTTCACTTTTGTTGTCTTTGACGGCCATTTCTAAAACGGGCTGGCTGTGTATTCTTGGGGGGATTTTAGACACTTAAGTTATTCTTTTAAAAGATCTCTGCTGACATCCACAGGTCCTATAATTAACATCTCAAGCCTTCACAGACCGGAAGTGTTCTGTCACTCCTAAAAATACAGAGCCCCCTCTAGGTCTTCCTCCAGCAGTTTATTAGGGATTTGTCTGTACTGTCCCCTCCTTCCTCCATGCTGCCCTCTCTTACCTTTACACATATTCACCCCAGATGTGGACACTCAAGTACTCTTTGCTTTTTTATTTTTTATTTTCTCCAATTTGTGAACTCAGCCCTCTTAAAAAAAATTGAGAAGATTACAGTCACTGGATATCTTAGTTTGATTTTTATCCTAAAAAGACTCCCTGGCTATAGCATCGCTCCATACCTGTTGTCCCACTGCCTCCCTAATCTCCAGCTCTGCTTCCCCTGCCCACCTCCCATAGCAAATGTGTCACTGACAAGAGGAATGTTTGACAAACTGAAGTAAGAATTGATTAAATGAGGGAGGGAGGTGAGAGCCAGCGTTATAGCTGACCTCCCCTCACTGGAAGTACTCAGAATCTCAGGGGACAAGGCTGTTGAGTGCAAAGGTAGTCCTTTCTGTAGTTTACAGCAGAGGGATATTTGAGGAAAGAGAAATAGAGGATCAGAGGGAAATATGGGATTTCCATTATCAATAAAAGAAAATTAAAGGGCGAGAGACTTGAGGACAGCTGCATCTGCTCTAAATCCAAGACCTACATCTGTTATTTCTGACCCAGGGACCCCTCAACTTTGGGAACACTTGAGAAGCTCAAGCCTTCTGGCTCAGGCTTGAAGGCAAGGGAGAACAAATGGAAACACAAGGACTGAAATGCTCTTGAGGAAAACGTGGGGTGCCAAGGATCAGGAGGCAAAACTGAGTACTTTGTTGCAAGAATATTGATTGGAAAAAACAGGAGAGGGCCTTAAGCCTACCCTAAGTTAACAACGGTCTCTCAGATGTTGGGTATAAGAAATAGTGTCTCAGATGAGAAGATTTGACTCCAAAATAATCTTCCAGATTTTATTTCAGCCAAGCAATAGGTTGTTTCTTCAGTAAACAAGGAATTCTTCTATGTTTTCTCTTCCACCTCTCTGTGCCCTGGTTTGCTCTTCCTTGGGCCAAGAGGTTTGCAAGATGATGTTAATTCCACCAGACTTCTCTGTGGGACTTGTGGCTTACCACATAGAGCTTTGCCAGACTTTTCCCTCTCCTTCTGAGGAGGCTCCTGGTAAGTAGTTACTATCTTGCTTCTAGATAGAATTCAAGCATGAACTATTTGGGTGATGAAACCATAAGTTAGGGCTAAAATTTGACTGGATAAGGAGAACAGCAATTCTCATCATCCTGGCTCTGAATTGCAGGACAAGGTCTATGGTGGGGCCCACAGTCACCCATGAGCACATGAACTCTGGTTCACCCCTAGGCCTGATTCAGGGATTAAAATAAGCCTGGACTAAGAGGCTGAAGGACTTCAAAAAGGAGAATAAAGGTTGGGGAAGAGATGAAAAAAGCAGAGCAGCACCTGGTGACTGCTTGTGCTTAATAGTACTCTTCAGAAGTGAGAAATTGGGTAAAAGTGATAAATCTGTTTCTCCCATCCAAGTACTAACCAGGCCCACCCTGCTTAGCTTCCAAGATCAGATGAGATCAGGCACATTTGGAGTGGTATGGCTGTAGATGGTAAATCTGCTTCTAAGCAAAATTCTAAAGAAATTGCCATGGGGAAAGGAACTTTGGTCTTACAGGCTTCCTTCTGGTATTCTCAGTCACTATGCACGTGGACTATAGAAAACCCACATAGCTTAGATATCTACTCGCATTGGGAACACTGGGACCTGCTAATTCTACAGAGAAGGGTGGATTGATCAGAACCTCTCTAGCTCCTTGGGCACCAGCTTTCATAGGCACACAAGGTTAGAGCTCAGGGACCCTCCTTGTTTACATCAAGTTTATGAATGTGAATCCAACTTTATAGTTGGGAAAGAGAGAGTTTTGGGAAGCCTCTCAGCTAGGACAAAGGAAAAGTCAGGGTTATTTCTCAAGTCTATGGACTCAAGATCAGACATCTGAAGTTACCCTGGCTTCCTGAAGGCTGAAAACCAGCTCACGCTCTCTGCCTAAAGCTGTGAGCTCGACCTAAAGGCAAAAATGGAACCAAAGACTGAGCCACAGATGTTGCTGAGGGTATCTAAGAGACTGTGAAAATAGAATTTCTTCCACCCTTTTGCTCAGGACTACTTCCATATCTAATAAATCTTATGAATGGCCACTTATTCTTCCCAACTTCATGGAGAAATATACCCAGGAGTAACGTACGATCTCCAAATGGTTTTTTCTGAGTCTACTGAGGTTGATGATTTTGTTGCTTATCCGAAGTTCTGCATGTTCAAGTTCTGCTCTGACACAGGCCTTTGTCAGGAGCCCAGTTACCATGGCAGTGCCTCCAAAATAGAACAAGCCCAACACACATCAATAGAGGGTACAATAAATAGAATAAGTACTACTTACAATGCGTTATTTGGCTTCTACTGGGTAGTAATTTGTGCAGAGTTGAAAATAACTACAGCTCCCCCCTCATTTAATTAAAGGAAAACAATTCCACAAATCGGAAATGTGCAGTGTTTATATCAGAGAGGATCTCGAGTTGCTGCGTGATCAAGAGGCCAGGATCATGGGTAAATTTACTAGAGAAAAGTTAATGTATTAAAGCTATGGATATTCAGAGAATCACTCCAAAGCACTCTTTCTTACAACCCACCTTATAATGTGATTTGGTTTGAGACACCAGCTAAGTATTAATGAAGAATAGCACCTAAGAAATGTAACAACATGTTTTCCCAATAGTCGAATGAGCATATCTCTTTTTGTCCATGGCCATCCCGGTTTACCTCTGTTGTCCCATGACACCCTCAAGTGGCATGCTTTGGATCAAAAATTACTTAGGCATCCTGATTATAGGTAACCCCAGGGTTTAGAAGGCTGGTGGGGGACTGCACTGAAAAAAAAAAAAGTCTAAAATTCCCTCTGAGAAAGATGACACTCATGTTTATGGTAGATATTTCAATGAATATTACATACTTTGGGCTGTTTCTAGGTAAATCCATATCTCAGGGCCTCCAGTCTCCCATATTCTCTGAGTGGACCTCCACCTTACATAAAGTAAACAGCTTGACTCAGAAGAGAATGCACTGCCTTTGGAATAAGACAGGTCTGGGGTCTAGAAACAACTTTGCCTCTTACTCTGTGAAAGTCTGTTAGCCTTAGTCTCATACATTACATGCCTAAAACTGAGGCTAACATTCTACTTTTATTGGTCTGCTGTGAAAACTGAATGATGTTGTGTGTAGGTACAAGTGCCTAACTCACTGTCTGGTCTATGGTAAGAATTGGTTATCCGTCTCTGATTTGTTTGTTGTTCCTACAACAGCTGTGGCTGGCATGGTAGACTGAACAGACATGACCTTTGGGATCTGTCAGAACTATAAGTGATAGATCCCTGAACAAGCCAATTAACCCCTGAGGCTCCCCACCTCCAATCTTAAAAAGTAGACATCATCCAAAACCTCTCACAAGGTGCAGTGGGAAATGACAGCAATGACAAATGTAAGTCACCAAGCATAGACTGCCACTTAGTAGACACTTGTCACATTTAGGCCCCCTGGGAAGCAGACACTAGGATGGAGAACCGAATGTAGGATGTTTATTAAGTATGAGATCAATACTTGTGTAAGGAAAGAAAGGGAAGCAGGATTGGTCAAAAAAGGAATTAAACTGCAATATAGGTCCAAGAACAGTCTCAACCTACCCCAAAAGGGAGCTCTGGCACTACGATAGCATTTCAGCATTCTCCTAGTTTGGCCAAGATAGCCAGGCCTTTAGATTCCCACATTTATTAGTCACTGAATGCAAGCTGCCCCAGAAAGGTGCATGAACTTGACCAGGGTGGCTTTCTGTGGCTGAAGGAGTCTGTGAAGGTGCTGACAAGCTTCAGACTGTCTGCTACACTTCCAGGAGCCAAACTGACCATTCCTACAATGAAGAAGTATTTAGAGGGCACATCTCTGTGCCCATCACAGTCCACTCCTCTCACTACTTAGAGCTACTTCCTTGTATATATACAGAGAATAGCTTGCCACAATGCCAGTGGGCTTCTCTTCCTGAGAAAAACCCAGAAGAGAAAGATTTGTTGGTTAAATTACAGTCCCTGCCCCTGCAGATGGTCTTAGTGACACAATGGTGTGATTTTCTTCTTTCTCCGTTATCTTTTCTAGACTTCCTTCCCTCCAGTTACCACCTCTGCTGATTTTCTTTTTATTTTTATTTTTTGAGACTGAGTTCTACTCTGTCACCCAGGCTGGAGTGTGGCAGCACAATCTTGGCTCACTGCAGCCTCTCCACCCAGTTCAAATGATTCTTCTGCCTCAGCCTCCCAAGCAGCTGGGATTACAGGCACTCACCACCACACTGTGCTAATTTTTGTATTTTTAGTAGAAACAGGGTTTCACCATGTTTTCGAGGCTGGTCTTGAAGTCCTAACCTCAAGTGATCCTCCTGCCTCAGCCTCCCAAAGTGCTAGAATTTACAGGCCTGAGGCACTGTGCCTGACTGCCTGCTGGTTTTAAGAGTTTCCCTGGTACAGTGACATAGACTCACATGCCGGAACCCCTACTTATCCATGCCCTTCTCAGGATGCACTTGTTTATTCACCATCACAATTGGTCAAAGAAGTATCAGCAAGCAACCAATAGATCAACTGGGTGCTAAACAAATTCTCTGACCCATTGAATAAGAGCTGCCCACTTCCTCCTGAGGCTCATAACACTAACTCCTCTCAAAGGAGATTATTCTCTAGCTGTAAGACTTAATGTTGTTTCTCCTGTTGAGTTTTGGACTAATTTGGGACCTGGTCATCCTTTTTTCTTGCCTATTTCCGCCTTTTTGGAATGTGACTATCTATCCTACACCTGTTGCACCATTGTATTTTGGAAGTAGATAACTTGTTTAATTTCACAGGCTCACAGCTGGAGGGGAATTTGCCTTAGGATGAACTGTGTCTTGAGTCCTACCCGCATCTGTTTATTATAAATTAGCCAGTCTGTGGTATTCTGTTGTCGCGGTACAAAACTGACTAACATGGTAAGTTTAGCATGTCTTCAGGAGTGGATATCCTCTGAAGGGCATTAACATGTATCAGTTATCAAGTTATTGCTTTTCAGTTTCAAATCCATTCTTTTTAAAATAAGCTTTTATTTTAGAGAAGATTTAGATGTACAGAGTGATTGTGAAAGCAGTACAATGAATTCCCATATACCCCTCACTCCGTTTTCCCTATTATTAACATCTTACATTAGTAGAGTACATTTGTCACAATCAATGAATCAATATTGATACATTATTACTAACTAAAGTCTGTACTTTATTCAAACTTCACTGCTTTTTTCCTAACGTATTTTATTTTATTTTATTTTTTGAGACTGAGTCTCACTCTGTTGCCCAGGCTGTAGTGCAGTGATATGATCTTGGCTCATTGCAACCTCCACCTCCTGGGTTTAAGAGATTCTTCTGCTTCACCCTTCCTCTTAGCTGGGACTACAGGCATGCATCACCATGCCCGGCTAATATTTGTATTTTTAGTAGAGATGAGGTTTCACCACGTTGACCAGGCTGGTCTTGAACCCCTGACCTCAAGTGATCCACTTGCCTCAGCCTCCCAAAGTGCTGGGATTACAGGCATGAGCCACTGCGCCCAACCTCCCCCAAATTTCTGAATGTCTTCATAGACTTTACCAAATAACATCCTCCACGACCACATTCATCATCAGTAAAGTTTTTAACAATTTTCTGGCCACTATTTTTTTCCAGGACTTGTGTGAACTCCTACTATGACTAGGCCTGGCCTTCATTATTAGTAAGAAGAGAGTGACCCAGCTCCACACCCCCTAGTACCTGCTTTCCCACAGCATGCTTGTCACCAGCTGTCATAGAGATCAGCATGCAGGATATTTACAAGGATGTATTTGGAGTCAACAGCTGGTGAAGGGAAGATAAAGAAGCAGTTTGGTCAGAGGGTGAGGTCAAGCTACCCACAGGCCCCAAAATAATCTCAGCCAACCCCATAGAAACTTGAAGCTATGGTGGCTTTTCATGGTTGCCTTGGGTTGGCCTAAGGTGGCCAGGCTTTTGTATTACCACCAGTTTTATGTTAATCAGACATAAATGTGGGCCACCACAGGCAGAGTTATGACTTTGAGTGACCTCAGATGAGGACCATCTACTTGACCAGCTATCTGTCCTCGGTATTCTTAGCAGGTAGGGCAAGAATTCTTTCATTGAAAGGATACTTGCATTACATATCACAGTGTCCATCACAGTAATTAGTGAATTTCATTTCTCTCCTTCTTCTTTATATGAAAAACCAGATATAGTAAGAGAAATATGCATAGCTCCTTTTTAACATACTGAAAAGTCTCGGCAGTGGGTAAAAATAGACTATTGTAGTGAAAACCTGCAGAACCCAGGATAGGTAAATTAGGTAATATCTTCTATATTTTAGTGATCCAGAAAAGTTTTATGCCTTAAAATCTCTATTCCAATTAGTTTTAATCTATTTCCATTTCCTCTCTTCCCATACTCTAAAAAAAAAAAAAAAATAGTAGTTAGAGAACTTATACATGTAGTCATCAAAGTGTCCCAGCAAAATTTTTGATGCTGAAGACCGTTTTCCCCAGGAAAGGAAGCCTAACAGCTAAAATAACAGCCATATGAGGATGCTTAAAATCTGTTTTAGAAATATCCTCAAAGAAAACCTAAAGGGATAAGACACTTAAAGTGCCCCCCTGTGCACAGGTTGAGATTGGGTGGGGAATGGGGTCAGGATTTTGTTTCCTGAACCAGGAAACATGAGTATGTGTAGAATGTAGACCCTAAGGCATTCCTCCTGCATGCGTGTTCACATCCAGAGGGACTGTGGCACCAGCTTATCCCAGATCATCTCTTACCAAAGAAGCTACACCTGAGGTGTCCTTGGAAAATCTGGACACTGCACACCTTCAGAGGAGATGGGGAGACATCAGGAGGAAGTGAATTTGTTCCACTGATGCAAAAATAGGCCCAGCTCCTATGAGTTAGTGTGTTGATTTTGTGTGTCCTCCTCCAATTTCATTATGATATTCGTTTTTCTCACCATCTAAAATTCTGTAATTTTATGCAGATACTCAGCCTCTGAGCGACAGAGCCTTGCTTTGTAGAGAGGGAGGTCCCCAATACTGTGATTCCCTGTTTGTTTATTTTCCTCAGGTGGGAAGAGATGAAAAATACCTGCCACCATGAGTCAGAAGTTAGAGCCAGAACAGCAGGTCAGATGGCAGAAACACAGGCAGAAGGAGGCGAGTGTGAGGTAGGCAAAGTGATGTTCCCTTTTTCTATTTACTCTTTTTATAAATTTCAACCTTTTAACACTTAAACTTTCCCCAGGATTCTTATTTCTGTGACTTTTTACTTGCCATTATAGTTTACTCATAGGTATGGTAAATGGCTGCTGACGGTCGACCAGATGCTTGATGACTTCATTTACTCTCTCTTTGGGAAAACTATTGAAAGAAATCCCAGCTACTCATTCTCCTACAGGCAGGGGTATGCAGTGATCTCTTCTGAAAAGGAAAAGATGAACATGCTTATTGTTTGCCTGGAGACTCTGGGGAGCATAGAGACACTTTCTGCACCAGCATTTTATTTGAGAACATAAGGAATGAATTTTACACCTTGCTGAGGGGTAAAAAGGCACATTGTATATTCCAAGTATCAAGATCCTTCTTTTAGAATCAGAATATATAGTTGACATGGAGAAAATACTTTCAAGATGTTGTGGAAAAAAATAACTCTCAAGACTCTAGCTCTTTACAACCTGATTATTATTCAGCACCTGCATAGTTTCATATCTCTGTGGGGTAGGAGTGTTTATTGTTTCTAAAAGACCATAACCCAGACACCCTTCCAATCCATAATCAAACATGAGTTCTCCTGAAAGATACAGATATAACACAGGGGAGAAGACATATGAACTCTTCCCAAGAGTTTCAAACACTTCCAGATATGAGAGCATTCAAGAACGATTTCCTCCTTGGGGATTTCCAGGCTCTTCAGTCAGAAGGACAGGCACACGGCTTTGCATGTCCCATCACATTGGATTTCCACATCTTGATTCCAGTGAGAGTCAAGCACACAGTCTGGCCTTCTCTGCCTGTGTGTCCAGAGGCATTCAGACAAACCCTGGGGAAGGACCGCATAGGAGAACGGATGGGACATCTGCAGTCACAGTGGATTCCTAATCCTGCCTGACTCTTACCGAGTTGTGTGTACTCTCTGAGCCTCAGTTTCCTCCTTTGTACAATGGGGTTGGCAATATCTATTCCAAATGGCTATCATGATCATTAAATGAGAATAATGGTAACAAATTCCTTGCACAACGGAGACATTTAATAAATACATAGGTAGTTAGATCTATAAGGGCGGCACTCTTGTTGCTCCTCAGCACTTTCCTCAGTGCCCAGTATAGAGTAGATATATTTATCAAAAATGTATGTGGGATAAATCATTCATACTAATTGTTTCCAATTTCCCACCACACTCACTCTATGAACTAGGTAAGTGCCCCTTTTCCTGTCAAAGAAGGACTGTGTTGCCCTATCAGGAGAAGCTATCATGGAGCCTCAGTTTCTAGATCTAGGTATTCTTATTCTGTTCATGGAAATATAAATGTACACAATCACTTTGTAGAACAATTTGGAAAACAAGTCTCGCAAAGTTGAACATGCATGTACACCTTGAGCCCAGCATTTCCATTTCTAGGAAAATATACAAGGAACACACAAAGGATACAAAGGATATACCTTGTATATAAAGCTACATTTATAAAAATATTCATGTTATTAATGGCAAACACTGAAAAACAACCACATGTCAAGTAACTGGAGCATATACATATTCTGAATATTCTCCATATGATATTTTACAAAAGAAAATTAATAAAAAAGAACTTTAGACACCAGCATGTATTCTTTTAATGTGAATAATTTTGAGCAAAACATTCATTTATAAAAGAATATACGTATGGTTGTATACATATAGTTTGAAACATGCATAACGGTAATAGATATTGCTTGGGGGCATAAACATATCATTGAAGTCTGAAAAATGCAAGGAAGAATGAGCTCTAAATTCAGAATCATGGTTACCTCTGAGATGAGGAAGGGGGTTAGTCAGGCAAGACGATGCAGGGACATCTAACAGGGAAGCCTTGGTACTGTGTGGTGTGTTAGAAGGGTGGGGGGAGGGGAACAAAGGTGTCTGATGTGGATTTTACTTAATATATATTAAAAATAAAAAATATATGTATGAAAAGCATCTTCTCGTCCTTTCTCCTCTGCTAAGAGTTAAGAGGAATCCTACAGAATTTGCCCACCTCTCCATTCTAAAGATGAATAACCCAAAGCCCAAAGGAGTGAATATTTCGCTTAAAGCTACACAGTCAGAGTGTGAAAGAACCGAGATTAGAATCCAGATTTTCCAGGTCCTGGGCAAGAGGTTTTCACACTGCTCTTTTTAACTGTATTTGGTCCAGTTCCCTCTTCCTCCTTACAGGAAGGAAACTGAGCATAGGTGTAAACAGAGGCCTCAGAAGGGTTCAGGCATCACAGGTGAACCACGCAAGAGGCACGGAGAAAGGATTCTGTGAAGCCAAAGGGACAGAATGGTTTTGAGTCATTGTTTAAGCAGTTTCTCCAAAGCCTCCACTTTTCTTGCCTTAGAAAGATTGTGGGATATTCCTAGAAAAGATCATGTGGACTTGCTTAAATTTTTATTCCTGATCTCTAGAAAACTAGGACCCAAAATGCCAAATCTGGGTTTCACCATCAAAGCATTGAGACTTCTGGGGACTTTTAAAAGTTTATGTCCTCAAAACTCTCAAAGTAGGATCATTCACAGTTAAAGGTTTCAGTTGCAGGAGTTCATGAAAATAGCAGCATGATGGCAAAAGCTTATGAATAAACAAATGAAGCCCCCAATGTAACTCTGATGTACAAACTATAAGAAAAAAATGGCACTCAAAGTAAAGGTAATATCAATACCACTTTACGTACCTTACCTAAGTACTCATACATACTTGACAGTGAATTTCCACCCTACACTTTTAAGTTCTCCCTCCCACTGAGTTTCAGGCAGATCTGGGAGATTCAGTTTGCTTTGTTACTGGTGACAAGTTCGCAGGGCTATTCATATCTACTCCTCCTTTTCATGTGCTACAAGGTCTTTCTGGTATTTTAACCCAAAGTTTTGAATGCACACTTTTCTGTCCCATGTTTACCCTAGAGACAGAGTTAGTTGGCTGCTTGTTGGGAGATTCTCTATTGAGCTAATTCTCCCTCTATCTAGGAGACTTCCTGAAGCTACTTCCCAAATCCATGAGGGATATAGCTGTTCTCTGTCACGGCAACATTGTTCCACAGCTCAGGGCACCTTCCTGACCCGGCTCCATTCTCCTAATCCTCCCTTAACCACAGAGAGAGTTCAGCGCAAGGCCCATTATTATTCTCATGTGAATAATTTTGAACAAAAATAAATTCATTTATAAAAGAATATGCATATGGTTGCATACATATAGTTTAAAACATGCATAACAGTAATATATATTGATTGGGGGCACAGACATATACAATTGAAGTCTGAAAAACACAAGGAAGAATGAGCTCTATATTCAGAATCATAGTTACCGCTGAGATGAGGAAGGGGATTAGTCAGGCAAGATGATGCAGGGACGTCTAACAGAATCCATGAGGTATACAGCTGTTGCTATATGCCTGACTCCATTTTCCCTTATTTCTCCTCATATTCTTTCTAAACATGTCTACAACATTTGGACGTGGTCTTTCTGAAAGCCTTTATGTCACTTTGCTATTTCCTCCTTTAGCAAGTGTTCCCTAGTGGATCAATGCCCACTTGGAATTTCCTCAGAAAATTTCTCCAGAAAAGATTCATTTGTGTTAGAATTTTGCTCAAGAAAATTTTACAGGTGGGACTACTTCTCAGTCCACAGCATGTCTACTAAGCCACAAAAATATGGCCACCAACTTCAAGGGCCACTATATGCCTGTGGATGGAACAATAGATGAGGCATCTTGGCGTTGTTTTAAAACCTCCGGTGGAATTCATGCCTTTCCCCCATCTTGTTCTTTTTAAGCTGGGGCCATGCTAGTTGCACTGTGTTTCTTTGCTGTGGTAAGTGGATGTGTCTTACTTCCTTTCACCGTTTGTATAGATCCTTGAGGAGAAGAGCATGTCACGCTGTAAAAGAGGATGAGGCAGAACTTGTGAACCCGAGTGAAGCCCACCAGGTTGCACGGGAAGGTGTGCAGGACCTCTGGTGCCATGGGAAGGGCTTATGGTTAAGAGACATCAGTGCCTTTCTGAGAAGGGAAAGCAAGATAAGGGGAAGGTGTTCAGACCTGCTCTCTTTGCATTTCCACATGCACAGATCCACCCCCACTGGTGCAGCAAGCCCAGGCTTACCTGGAGCAAGGCCTCAATGCTGGCCTTTGGATGAAACTTCACGTCCACCAGAGGCCTCAACCATCGTTTTGATGTCATCCCTGGATGAGGTTATACAGAGCCCTAAAAAAGCACAAGGGGGATTGAAAGGAGATCATCATACAACTCTGATCTTAAGTCTTGTTTTCAGACTTCTTTATTCTTTCCGTGATAAATTAATACTTTTGATAAATTACTAGAAGTTTTTCTGAATAACGTAATTGCCTGCTCACATTATAACTTCTATTTATGAATGAAATGTGTAAAATACACATCTGTTTTTTATAATCCTGTTTTTTCCTATTTCTTTATTATTAAACCTACCTTAGATATATACAGTTTACATGTTTCAAACATACTTAAATTTTATTGAAATATGCCTATATTCTAACATGGGTTCTGAAGACGTGCCCTGGTTTCTCTCGCTGCCAGAATGGCCAAACATGCTGAAGGACAGGCGAGAGGCGACTGGGTATGCCGCGTTCTTCCTTTCAGCTTTGAATTTTCCTTCCGAGAGGTTAGAACGTAAGATTGAAGAACTCACAAAAATGAGTCAGCGGGAGTGATTCTTTGGTTTTCTGAGCATAACCACATTTACTTCATTTGCTTTTTAACAGCAATAAAGAAGACACAAAACAAATCATAAAAGTTGGCCTGGGCCCCCTGCTGGCAGAAATCACAGAAACTAAGAAAAATGGTCCATCACAAATAAGAAAAACACTAAAGACCAAATAGCAGCACTGGAAAAAGGAAAGGGGAAGAGGAGGGAGGTGGGGAGGGAGGAGAAAAGGAAGGAAGAAAGAAGGGAAGGAAGGGAGGGAGGGAGGGAGGTCTTATACTGCCTTGAATATGACCAGTCTCTATTTGCTAGAGGCATAAATTTGCCTTGGTTCTAGGTGAGCGCCTTACCAGACACAACCTTAGGAAGAGGATGAGAAGGAGGAAAGTTAAATTTTAAATTTACAGTTTAATGGCCCCAAAGAGACTGTGCTACACTTGGGAGGGCAAGTGCCTCATACACAGGAAGCAACTGGTGTATCAAAAAATTCATTAATTGTCAAGTTTAAGTTCCTTGTTCTGTAAAGGTTTGAAGATTCAGAAGGACTCAGTTGTTCAGTTGCTTACAGGAAATATGCATATCTCAGTAACAATACTTAAAAGTTCACCCCTGGGCTGTGTGCCGTGGCTTACGCCTATAATCCCAGCACTTTGGGAGGCTGAGGTGGGCAGATTACCTGAGGTGGGGAGTTCAAGACCATCCTGATCAACGTGGAGAAACCCCATCTCTACTAAAAATACAAAAATTGGTCAGGTGTGGTGGTGCATGCCTGTAATCTCCTTTACATTATTACTTGCTTAGCATGTTAGTTCTTTAAAAATGGGATTCTACCCATATACCTTGCTCTCCATGTTGCCCTGAGAAATCTGCCCAGTAACCAGTTGGGAGGCTGAGGCAGGAGAATTGCTTGAACCTGGGAGGCAGAGGTTGTGGTGAGCTGAGATTGTGCCATTGCACTCCAGCCTGGACAACAAGAGCAAGACTCCATCTCAAAAATAAAAATAAAAAATAAATAAAAGTTTACCCCTGGCCAGATTTGGTGGCTCATGCGTCTGATCTTGCCACTTTGGGAAGCCAAAAGCAGAGGGATCACATAAGACCAGGAGTTCAAGACCAGCCTGGGCAACATAGTGAGACCCTTATCTCTACAGAAAATCAAAAAATGAGTTGAGCAGAGTGGTGCATGTCTGTAGTCCTAGCTACTTGGGAGGCTGAGGCAAGAGAATCTCTTGAACTATGATTGTAAGGAACTATGATTGTACCACTGTACTCCAGTCTGGGCAACAGAGCAAGACCCTGTTCTTCTCTATTGTTATTATTAAAATAAAAATTTAAAATTTACCCTATTTTATGCTTATATATAGGTCCTTTTTAGCTTTTGCCTTGTAAAAATGGGATTCTACCCATATACCTTGCTCTCCATGTTGCCCTGAGAAATCTGCCCAGTAACCAGTTCCTGTCACTTGCATCACTTGCCATATGTTGGTATGAAGGAAATCAGACATGACTAATAGTGGGGAGGGGTCCAGGGCACCTCTAAAATGAATGACAAGGGCCTTCCAGAAGGAGAATACTCCTGTCGAAATTTTAGTATTGTTGCAGTTAACCCAGTGAATAAGGATTTATTTATTGAATGCAGCACAAGGCAATTACATGATGAACTGTCAGAAAAGACGTCAAAACTTCTTTAACTTCAGTTGTTTGCACTGAAACACGGAATTAATACGTCTTATCTGAAGGCGAGGAGACGTCTCAGAGGGTCACTGCAAAGTATTAAGGATCTGAATCATGGAATATTTTAAAGGAGTGAAACCTTGTGACATTTAAGTTCTGAAATTTACCAGAAATAAAATATCTCCAAGGAGAAGATCTGCTGGTCCTGACAATAGAGAAAATGTGGGTGAATAAATGAGTGAGTGAATGAGTGAGATCACTGGATTCTCAGAATGAAGAAAACAAAGAACTAGTGACATGAAAGATTATTTGGGGTTTTAAGGGCATGGTGTATTTTATGCTATTAAATTGTATAGCAAAAAAAAAAAAAAATCCCATTTTTAATTCCCTTCATATATTTTGATTCCCTAAGGAGGAAGGCTCAATACACAGCTGTAATTTGATTCACACTTTGCTAACCTTTGCCAATTCCCTTAAAAATATATAAAGAAAGAGAAGATAATTCTTCAGCCTAGAGCCATCAATAGACAACATCTAGCCAGAAATTAATAACTTGTACTGTTCCCTTTCAATTGATGTTTACTGGTAGCTTTTATTTATGAACTGACTCTTATTTTTCACTTATTTGGTGATATAAAGTTTCCTCTGAAATATATTTATTTATTGAAAAATGAGAGAGTAGATATAAAGCAAAATATTCCTGAAGCAGTGCATGAGATTCAAGATATGGTGCAACTCCAAGCACATTATATGAATGACAGATGTTTGGAAAGCACTGTGTTAACACATAAATTGTTCATATACCACAGTTCCTTAAATATTTGTTCCTTAAAGTAGGTCAAACATGTCCTTTGTTTACATTATTACTTGCTTAGCATGTTAGTTCTTCATAGATGCTGTAAAAAATCATTTCTCCCAATACAGGGACATGTTTGCACTTCCCCAATTATTTGAGCCAAATTTAATGAGATTTCATAGTAAAAGAAACCTAATGTGGAATATTAGCTTCACAAAATGTAATGGTCCCTCAGCAGATCAGGAAATTGTTTTATGACTAACAAGTTTAGGCTAGGGTACTTGTTTGGAAAGCTCATGGGATCTTCTAATATCCAGTGCAGTTGATGGAGAATAGAAACCATTATGCTTACATTCCAACCCTTTCTTTAATCAATTTTTCTCTTTCTATGGCTGTTTCTGACTTTGCAAAACAGGAACAGAAGGAGGGGAGAAAAGGCAGCTTAATGTGGCGGTGATGTGGGGAAGGGGTTGGAAAGTAGGTGAATGGGCTGAAATAAAAGTAAATTAAAAAAATAAAAACAGAATCTTGACAGAGAAAGAATTTTATAGATGGTTTATTCCAGGAGATAGCAAAAAAACACATCCTTTAGAAACTGGCAGATGTGACTCCAACTGCTGGCTTTGCAATCTACACGCCACAAGCCTCAATTTCCCCATTAGTGTGTAGTATAATGGGGTGATTAAACCTTGCTCAATGGAAAAAAGCATAAGTGGGAAAGAGAGGGTAGGGGAGTAAGTCAGGAAATGGCTTTGCGGGGTTGATTGAAAAAGTATTCTTCCTAAACGAATTTGGAAGTGGTAGTTTTCAATCAGAACAATTAGGGTCTGTAGAATCTTCTACAGATTTATCTTCTTATGAAGATAAATCAAAGTGCATCTGTTGTCAGACACAAATATTTTCAGAGTGCAGCTATAGAGCAACGTAACTGTTTTTCAATAAAAAAGCACAGATTTACAGGACTCCACAAATTATTCAATCAAGATCTAAAAGCATAACCATAGTGATCTTTACTTATGAAGATGCAGGGGCAGGTTTCTCTTACAGTCTGGAGAATTTGGGCCTCTTTCTAAGCATTCATGAATCTTAGAACCACAGAATCCAGTCTTTGCTCTATATCAGCTGTGTTAGGGTGAGAAGATGTTGGCCATGAGTCATGTTTTCAACATAAAACTTGTTCTCCTGCAACAAGTGATTGGCTCTAATCCCCCTTAATTTCTTATAGCTCATGGGCTTAGTTAATTTGCATGTCTGTCATAAGGGGCTGGCATTATGCTAACAATCTGGTCCCAGCATGTTAGGAAATGCATTATGAACAATTTCATTACTTAGCTGGGACACTCTGTCTAGTCTGAAAACCAGGTGGGTGGACAACTTGAGGTCAGGAGTTCCAGACCAGCCTTGCCAATATGGTGAAACCCATCTCTACTAAAAATATAGAAATTAGTCTGGCATGGTGGCACAGCCCTGTAGCCCTAGCTGCTCGGGAGGCTGAGGCAGGAGGATTGCTTAAGCTCAGGAGACGGAGGTTGCAGTGAGCCAAGATCACGCCACTGCACTCCAGTCTGGGTGACAGAATGAGACTCTGTATCAAAAAACAACAACAAAAACAAAAACTACTAAGTAAAAAGAGGAGGAGAGCAGAGTAGTGACAGATCTTGGTGAAGTGCAAGGAAGTTTTATTGGTGTCCATACAGTCATGGCAGATAGTGGGTTTGATGGATGCATATGGAGCCCAGACTCTGCAGAATGTAGTTCTCAAGAGGGCAGGGAATTTAAGATGAAGCTAGGATGATAAGATGATAGCTAATTTTTTAAAAAGCCAGACAGACAGGCATCTCTGTCCAAAGTAGGAACTGGCTAAGTTGAACTTTTCTCACCACTTAGAGAGTGTGAGACAGCCCGTAGCCATGGACTACCTTTCTCTCTTTTGTTAAAATACCAGAATCAGCTCATCACAGTGTGCTAAAGAAGCTGTATTTGAGGCCAAGAATTTCTGCCTCAGACATCATTCTTGAGACTATTATGGCTTGCCATTGTCTTAGCTCACTTTCCTGGCACACTAACTTCAGAGAGTGTTCAAACAGGATAGTCACCACTGTAGTAAGAATATGACACTGGAAAGCAAGTTATAACTGTGAGTGAGGTAGGAGGCAGGGCTTGGACACTGGACCAGATTGAGGACCAGCTAAAACAGAGAAGAGGTAAACTCTCCACAAGTCACACCCACTAGTGTGTCATGTCAGTTTACCTTTGCCATGCAACACCTAGAAGTTGCCGCCCCTTTCTAAGGCAATGACTTGACAATCTGAAAGTCACTGTCCTCTTTCTAGAAATGTCTGCATAATCTGCCCCTAATTTACATACATATGACTGCAGAACTGCCCCTGAGCTGCTACTCTGGGTGCACTGCCTATAGGTAGCCCTACTTCACAAGCAGTACCTCTGCTGCTGCTGTACACGGCCACTTCAGTGAAGGTTGCCAACACCACCAGCTCGCCCTTGAATTCCTTCCTGGGAAAAGCCATGAACTCTCCTGGGCTAACCCTCAGTTTTGAGGCTCATCTGTCCTGCATCAACTACAAGGCTTTATGTGACTTAAAGCAGGCTCATTAGTAGATTATTCAGTCCCAGGGTTGCTGGGTGATGTTCCAAGGGACCCACATAGGGATGCCTTGAGGATGGAAGAGACAGGGCTACCGATAAAGCCAGTCCTCCAAAAGATGCGGTTTTTCCTTTTTTGGTGTCTTGAAGCCAATATGTGAAACCAAAAGTGAGTGTTAAGCAATGCAGGCTTTATTTGCTGGCCATGGAAATGAGGAGCAGAAAGCATGGCTCACAGATCAAATTCTCAGTTCATGGGAGCTAGGAAGCCACAGACACAGGACATTTTCAATGTAGGTGTCGGGTATTAAAAGCAAGGATAGGAATATCTGTCTTTTCTTGGAATGGACAGACAATTTCTCAGGACCAGAGTGCTGCCTTCCTTTTTGTCCTTTTGTGGTTTCTTCTGGTCATTGCCATGGTGATTGCCAACAGTCATGGCCTGGAGGGAAGGTCATTTAGCATGGAAATTAGATTATAAGGAAGTTAGAGGTTCTTCAGAGGTCAACTGAGCTGCCATCTTGGATTCCTCCAGTTTCAGCAAATTTGGTCGTCAGGGGAAACTTCTAACTGCAAGCATCCTGTTTCTTAAAGATAAGCAGAATTAAAGTGGAGTAAAATTTCAGGTAGGTCACAAAGGCACCACATATAACAGAAAGTTTAGGGTCAACTGAGATGTTGAGGGACAAATCCCCACTTCTGACTCAGTCAGAGCAACCTCATTTTTAATTGATATTCATATTGGGACTCTAAGTCAGATTCTTTTTGAATTAGCTGCACTTCTGAGGCTAAAATAATGTCAAAAAACTGGTAACAAGACCCAATCTCCCCATTTTCTAGGTGCTGAATTGAGGCCCATTGAGACATTCAACAAGTGTTGTTAGGCAGCTGCTGCATCAGACGTGATGTATGGTGGTGATCAGGACGGATACCTTCCCACTCTCTTGGAAGTTACATCCCACTGAGAGAAGTAGAAAACATCTGGGTAGCAAACACATCATTATTAAATTATACAACAGTTTCCACTCCAGGTTGGCCTGGAGTGCTCTCGAGCACCCAGTCAGGCTATAAAGAAGTCTCATTTCTTCTTAGTCCTCCACAGGGTTCCAGAGATTCTCTGGGGTTTAGAAATGCCCTGAAGCTCTTCTCACACGGGGGATGGAGAGTAGCCTGGGTGCAGGTGGCCTGGCAATGCCACCTGCATGAAGGAGGCCTACTAGGCTTGCCACTCTCCCTGCCCTTTTCTCAGTCCACTTGGCAGACACATCCTAGCAGCAGATACTCTCACAGTCAACGAATTGGGATTAGATCGGTGCCTCTCGGAAGCCTCTCCTTATCAACAACTTGACCCTGCCTCTGGGTGTTCCAGATTCTTACACTTGGGCTATTAATGTTTTACTTCAACATTAAAGGAATGTTCCAATGGAACCTCTCCCATCAGAACAAATGTGATCCCCTATTAGACCTTCTCCCAAATCATTTCCAATGGAAAATTTTTTCCTGTCTCAAGAGTAGGATGCCCTTGGTCATTACAATTGCCTGGCCTGCATGAGGTAGAAAGAGTGGAGGGAGGGAGGAACAATTTCACTGTGACCCGTGAACAGTCATTTTTGCATCCCAAATGGATAAAATGACTCTTTTTATAGCAAACACAGAAAGAAAAAAAAAGAAGAAAACCAATGTATTTCCAAATATCAGTGATACACTGAATATTCAGACTAAGATCCTGCTACCGTGCCAATTGTGGTAAATGGTTTGAGAGACAAAGTGGAATAAGATGAGAACTTGTAACAAGGGATTCTGACCCAGCTGAGGGGGTCAGGAAAGTTATCCCTGAGAGGACAAGGAGAAAAGAGTGTTCTCAGGAGAGGGAACAACAGGTGAAAAGGCCCTCGGGGCCAGGTGCGGTTGCTCATGCCTGTAATCCCAGCACTTTGGGAGGCCGAGGCAGGTGGATCACCTGAGGTCGGGAGTTTCAAACTAGCCTGACCAACATGGTGAAACCCGGTCTCTAATAAAAACACAAAAAATTAGCTGGGCATAGTGGCACATGCCTGTAATCCCAGCTACTCAGGAGGCTGAGGCGGGAGAATTGCTTGAACCCAGAAGGTGAAGGTTGCGGTTATTTGAGATTGTGCCATTGCAATCCAGCCTGAGTAACAAGAGCAAAACTCAGTCTAAAAAAAAAAAAAAAAAAAAAAATGGGCCCTGGGGTAGCAAAGGGCCTGGCAGAGTCAAGGAACTTAAGGCATGTTATTGGAGCTGTAGAGCAGAATGGGGGATGAGTGTGGAGAGATACATGGGCATGACTCGCCTGAGGCCTTACAGGCCATGTCACAGAGGGCTTCACTATGAGGGATCAGTGAGTAGATGGAAGCTTATTAATTTATGTTTACCAAGACTGGAGGAAGGTAAAAAGTAGGTCAGTTAAAAAACTATGGCAGTCTTTCAGGAGAGAAATAATGCTATCTTACACTCTCTGGTGGCAGTGGGCGTGGGGAGGCATGGATGAATTCAAGAGATATGTAGGTTGTAGAATTCCTGGGGTTTGACCAGGCTGAGTCAGAAGAAAACAGTATTTTAAGATTGATTCTGATGTTTATCATGAGAAAATAGGTGCCACTGAGTGAGGTGGAAGGCAATGAAGAAAGCATCATGAGTTCAGCTTTGGATAGCTGAATGTGTGATCGTCCAGGGCTGCTGTATCACTGTCCTTCCCAGCAGAAGTTCATGGCACAAATCCCAGTGATATCCTCAGGGCAGCCCTAGAAGGCAGAGCTCCGGACTCTGATCTCCACCTTTAGATTCTCCAAATTCCACGGCCATAACTCACCACTTTTGAAAGATTACTTTCTTCAGAATTCCTTTGAGGAAGGTGGTGCTTTCGGCCTGTGACTTTGATGTCAGGTGTTAATAGTACTCAGCCTCTAAGAGAGACGTAAAAAACAAAATCAAAGGGAAAGGTTTCCTCCCCCTTGGGACATTCCTAAATTCTTATTTCAGGAAAGAAACGGTGGCTGAGTGTTAATGCTTCTCAATGCTAGATAAGGCTTTAGAATTCCATTGACTATTTAGCAACTAGAAGAGACTTTCTCATGTCTGTTGGCACATGACAGAAGGTGATGATGAACAAGAGCCTTCAGAACGTAAGACAGACCGGTGCCTCTTTCTGTTTTTGAGTCATTCCTGATATGCTAAAAATAAGTGCCAAACAGAGATACAAAAATTGTGCCATATTTTAAATGTTTACAGTGAAGAACTTAATGCTGTTAACAAACACAATGCCATATGATTGAGCTGTTCACAAAGGTATTAAGAGATTTATGAATATTTTTAGGTCATAGTTCAATATAGGTGGTGTGGTCTGGTAACAGGTAGACAAACATAATTTTAAAAATATTAACACCAACTTCACACAATATATAGAAAACATGTGCCAAAGTTTTATTTGATTAATGCAGGAAAAAAGACACTTGTTTAAAAGGAGAGTAAGAAGAATTGAGATTCTTATGGTGAATGGGCAATTCAGGAATGCTAAGGTATGATTACTAAATTAGATACTAAAAGGTCCATATATGCCACAGAGCAATGAAACATAAGCTGTGGCTTTATCTTATCTTATCTTAGAGCCAGAAAAGAAATTTATCACACCTTATCAGTTTCACAGAATTGTAAATGTCTGGACCCCAGTCAATCGTGCAACTCAGTTACCTTTCCCTAGAGAGTCTGATGACCTTTCGTCCGACCTGCTGAGCAATGCATGTTGTTAAAGAACATACAGTCATCCTTTGCCTTGTTTCTAAATTGTGTATAATTTTTCTTAGCAAGTATAAGTTTAAAATTGTATGATAGACATCTGTTGCTTTTAGTTCTCTCTTTGTGACTGGTTACATAAATATCTATTCCCAGGAGGCCAGGGCAAATAGTCCTTCTATGTCTTGACCTTCAACGCCACGAGCACCAGTCAGTTGTATCAAGCTGCAAGCCAAAAATAAAATTCTAAGGCCCCCAATTGACTGAACGGATGCCTCTTCTCGGCCAAGGGCATTTCAAAGTAAACCTGCAAAGCTAGCTGTGGTGATGCAAAGGGGAGTCAGACCTGACTCTTTATACCCTCCCTTTGGAATTCAGGCACAACTTACCAACATTAACATTAAAATACAAATCTTCAGATTGACAAAACTGATGCTTTGTAACAAATAAGATACCGGATTCCAACCTGCTCCTGGTATACCATCACATAACAGATAGCAGGCTCTGAAAAAAATTGTAGTATTTTACCCCAAACTGTGTTTTTTGGACATATTTTGAAATGTCCCTGCAAAGCTGTTTCACGGAGAAAATCTGCATACTGTACAGAAGGCTCCTCCCTTTCCAGGTCTTTTCCTGATCCAAAAGAGTTCTAGCTTTAAAGATTAAGATTAGATTAAAGATTAAGCTTAGAGAAAGATTGAGATTAGACTCTTAAGTCTAGCACGGTTTAGAGTCTGATAAGAGACATTTACCATCTATTCTCTCTGAAGCCTGCTACCTGGAGGCTTCACCTACATAGCAAGAACCTTGGCTTCCATAGTCTCCCCTTATCTTAATTACAAACATTTCTTTCCACTGACTTCAATACTACAGGCAAAAGAGTTTCAATTATCAATCATGAAATCTTTAAATCCACCCGTGACCCGGAAGCCCACTTCTTGATGTTTTTTTTTTCACTTCTTTTCTAAGCAGAATCAATGTACACCTCACCTGTATTGGCTTATGTCTCTGCCTGTAACTTCTGTCCTAAAATGTGTAAAATCAAGCTGTAACCCAACCACCTGGTGTATGTGTTCGCAGGACTTATCCAGACTGTGCCTCAGGCCTTGATCATTCACATTTGGCTTAGAATAAGCCTCTAAATGTTTCACAGTTTGACTCTTTTGTTGACAAAGCTCTAAATTTAAAAATATTCTTGATTGGTAGTTGTTTCATAGTGAATTGAAGATTTATGTAAGGCAGGTTTCTCATTTGAAAAGCACTACTGTATTCTCATCCATCAGAGAAAGCTGTTGAAGAGGTGAGAAGAGGCAATGTAATGTGAAATGTCGCTTTAAGGCAGTAGTACTTGAGGAGTGAAGAGAAGCAGGGATGGATTGATTGAAAATTTTACATAATAGAAGAAAGTGTCTCATAATAAGTTATGTTCAGAAACGAAAATTCTGTGAGCATGACAAAAATGCACTCATGTAATACAAAAAATCTCTTCCACAGTGAATACCATTAGGGGCTTATTTAGGAGTATGCATTTATATTTGCAATCTATATGTAATCGTCATTATTTTGGAAGTTTTATTAAATCTGTAGAACCTATGCTGTAATAGTTTTGGTATTCATCAATAATTTTCAGAACTAATTCTAAATTCACTTTGAAAATAGATAATAGGAAAATTGCATGGAAAGTTACAAATAAGATGTTGAAAAGATATAAATACTCACCCCAAATCAATTAGTACTCTTTTCTCTAACTCAGCATCTATCTAAAAATATCCTGGCAATCCAGAAATTGACATATCCCCACAGTCCTGTGCAAACACTATTTTGAGATCTAGTTTAGCAAAAACAAATGTGTCAAGAAGAACTAAGATCTGTCACCTGCATTTTCTGCTGAGGGTTGCTGAAGGCAACTTTAGCCGCCTTGTCAATAGTGCATGCAAGCCTCACCTGGAAGGAATGGGACATTTTGGTGGTATTTGTAATGGTACCAGGTTCTATATTTCAATTCAATTCCTACTTGGTTAGATTTCAAAGTAGTCCTGGGATTTTAATTAAGCACTTGTTGAATAGTAACTTGTTGAGTAGTGTGTGTGTCTCTGTGTTTTCTCTTCCATTTTTTCTCAAGATGGGGACCCTGCTTCATTCATCCTTGATATGGTTTGGCTATGTCCCCACCCAAATCTCATCTTGAATTCCCATGTGTTGTGGGAGGGACCTGGTGGGAGGTAATTGAATCATGGGGATAGGTCTTTCCCATGCTATTCTTGTGATAGTAAGTCTCATGAGATCTGATGTTTATTTTAAGGGGCAGTTTTCCTGCACAATCCCTCTTCTTCTCTCATCTGCTAAGATGTGGGACATCCCTTTCACCTTCTGCCATGATTGTGAGGTCTCCCCAACTACGTGGAACAGTAAGTCCAATAAACTTCTTTCTTTTGTAAATTGCCCAGGTTCGGCTATGTCTGTATCAGGAGTGTGAAAACAGACTGATACAGTAAATTGGTACCAGTAGAGTGGGGCACTACTGAAAAGATACACAAAAATGTGAAAGCAACTTTGGGGCTGGGTAACAGACAGAGGTTGGAGCAGTTTGGAGGGTCCAGAAGAAGACAGAAAAATATGGGAAAGTTTGGAACTTCCTAGAGACTTTTTGAATGGCAGTGAGCAAAACCCTGATAGTGATATGGACAGTAAGGTCCAGATTGAAGTGGTCTCAGATTGAGGTGAAGAACTTGTTGGGAACTGAAGCAAAGGTGACTCCTGTTGCCTTTGGAGCAAAGAGACTGGTGGCATTTTGCCCCTGCCCTAGAGATTTGTAGAACTTTGAACTTGAGAGATATGATTTAGAGTATCTGGTGAAAATATTTCTAAGAAGCAAAGCATTCAAGAAGTGACTTGGGTTAAAAGGCATTGAGTTTTATAAGAGAAGCAGAGCATAAAAGTTTGGAAAATTTGCAGCCTGACAATGTGATAGAAAAGAAAAACCCATTTTCTGAGGAGAAATTCGAGCCAGCTACAGAAACTTGCTTAAGTAATGAGGAGCCAAATGTTAATTCCCAAGACAATGGAGAAAATGTCTCCAGGGCACGTGAGGAGTGCTCATGGCAGCCCCTCTCATCATAGGCCTGGAGGTGTAGGAGAAAATGGTTTTTTGTGTTGTGTGCACTCTAGGGACTTAGTGGCCTGTGTCTCAGCCACTCCTGATGTGACTAAAAGGGGCTGAGGTACAGCTCAGACCATTGCTTCTGAAGGTGGAAGCCCCAAGTTTTGGCAGCTTCCATGGGTGTTGAGCCTGTGGGTGCACAGAAGTCAAGAATTGCGGTTTGGGGTCCTTTGCCTAGATTTCAGAAAATGTAAGGAAAAGCCTGGATGCCCAGGCAAAAGTTTGCCACAGGGGTGGGGCCCTTGTGGAGAACCTCTGCTAGGTCAGTGCAGAAGGGAAATGTTGGGTTGGAGCCTCCACACAGAGTCCCTACTGGGGCACCACCTAGTGGAGCTGTAAGAAGAGGGCCATTGTCCTCCAGACCTCGGAATGGTTGATCCACTGACAGCTTGCACCATGCTCCTGGAAAAGCTGCAGACGCTCAACACCAACCTGTGAAAGCAGCCAGGAGGGGGGCTATACCCTGTAAAGCCACAGGGTCAGAGTTGCCCAAGACCATGAGAACCCACCTTGTGCATCGGCATGACCTGGATGTGAGACATGGAGTCAAAGGAGATCCTTCTGGAGCTTTAAGATTTGACTGCCCTGTTGGATTTTAGACTTGCATAGGGCCTGTAGCCCATTTGTTTTGGCCAATGTCTCCCATTTGAAATGAATGTATGTATTCAATACCTGCACCCCCGTTGTATCTAGGAAGTAACTAACTTGCTTTTGATTTTACAGGTTCATAGAAGGAAGGGGCTTGCCTTGTCTTGGATGAGGCTTTGGTCTGTGGACTTTTGAGTTAATGCTGAAATAAGTTAAGACGTTGGGGAACTCTTGGGAAGGCACAATTGGTTTTGAAATTTTAGGACATGAGATTTGGGAGGACCCAGGTGCTGAATGATATGGTTTGGCTGTGTCCCCACCCAAATCTCATCTCGATTTCCCAAGTGTTGTGGGAGGGACCTGGTGGGAGATAATGGAATCACAGGGGTAGGCCTTTCCCATGCTGTTCTTGTGATAGTTAGTCTCATGAGAGCTGATGTTATGATAATGGTGAGTTTTCCTGCACTAGCCCTCTTCTTCTCTTGCCTGCTATGATGTGAGACATGCCTTTCACCTTCCATCATGATTGTGAGGTTTCCCCAGCCATGTGGAACTGTAAGTCTAATAAACCTCTAAACCTCTCTCTTTTGTAAATTGCTCCCTGGTCTCAGGTATGTCTTTATCAGTAGCGTGAAAATGGACTAATATAGTTCTTATATTTCTAGCACACATGCAACTGAATGTCATCATGTCAATCCATTTGCATTGCTATAAAGGAATACCTGAGGTTGGGTAGCTTATAAAGAAAATAGGCTTATTCGGCTTATGTATCTGCAGGTTATACAAGCTTGGCACAAACATCTATTTGGTTTCTGGAGAGACCTCAAGAAGCTGACAATCAAGGCAGAAGGCAAAGAGGAGCCAGTGCATCACATGGTGAGAGAGGGAGCAAGAGAAATAGGGAGGAGAGGTCAGGCTCTTTTAAGCAAGTGGATCTCGTGTGAACTCGCAGAGTGAGAACTCATTCATTACTGTGAGAACAGCAGCAAACCACTCATGAAGTATCCACTCCCATGACCCAAACACCTTCCACGAGGCCCATCTCCAGCATCAGAGGTCACATTTCAACAAGGGATTTGGATGGGGATGAAATATCCAAACCATATCAGTGATAGACATGAAAGACACACAAGATGCTTGTTGTTTGACGGATCGGAATTAAATTGTTCCACTTCTCATGGAAGAATGCCACAATCATAGGCTTCCCTGCCCAGGGCCCAGGATGCCATAATACCAGGACATTTCCCAGGAGTTGAGCCATTACCTCTTCCTCCTATATTGAACTTCTGGGGAGGGGATAGGAGGGAAGTACACGCAATTTTGCACAAAACGTGCATTGCTACCTGTAATAAACAGAATAATGGCCCCCAGAAATGTTTAGGCTCTAACCCCTGGAACATGTAAATATTACCTTTTTAGGGAAAACTATCTGCAGATGTGATTCAGTTAAAGATCTTGAAATGAGGAGACTATCCTGGATTATCTGGGCAGGTGCTAAATGCAATCAGACCTATCCTTAGAAGGAAGAAGCAGGGAAAGTTTGATAGCAAGAAGGCCACATAAAGAAAGAGCAGCAAGAGGCGGGAAAATGCTGGCCTGGAAATTAGAGTGGTGCAACCACGAGCCAAGACATAGCCACCAGAAGTTGGAAAGGCAAGGAAGGGATTCTTTCCTCAAGTCTCCAGAGATAGCCCAGCCTTGACACCTTGATTTGACCCAGTGATATTGATTTTGAACCGGTGGCATCCAGGACTGTGGTAAGAATAAATGTATGTTGTTTGAAGACACCAAGTTTATGGTAAAGTGTCACAGTAGCAATAGGAAACGACACACCACCTGGCCTTCTCTCAGATCCCTGTCCCATCTCTGCCCCTACTTCTCTGAGATCTCCAAACTCAGAAATGTGTGATAAGAAGGTCACTGGATATGAAGTCAGAAGTCCTGGCCTCGTATGCCCACTCTTTATATAAGAGCTGTCTTCACTCTGCCAGGTGCCCAGGTCCCCTTAACTGTACTTGGCCTGAGGACAGGTAAATGAGAGCCATAATTTTTGCCTTCAAAGAGCTCATAGTTGAGTGCATTAGACAGATAGGCAAGTACAGAAGATCACTGGGCAACGTGTGCTGAGAGAGGCAAAGGCAGGGCTCCAGAGGAACTCAGGGGTGCTGGCAAGCCTTTCATCCAGGCTGGAGGGAGGGAGTGAAGCATGGCAGGGAGGACTTTTCAGAGGAGGTGATGAGATTACTCAAGCCCAGTAATAAGGCTTCCACTAATTGCTAATATCATTAAGGCTGTGTGCCAGTGCTGCACTGGACTGCTGGCGCTGGGGAGCAGAGCTTATGAGGAATGCAATGTAAGTGTGCCACCTCGAGTTAGGTGATGCAGCAGCCTTCCCTGGCAGTGCCAAATGCTTTACACAGGTGAGTTCATTGCATTTTTGCACTCACAAGCAAGTCGCTACTTTTACTCTGATTTTCCCCACAAACAAACTGAGGCACAAAATGAATAAGTAACTTGCCAGAGCTCCTACAGTTAGTGAGGGGTGAGACGTGCTGAGAAAATAAAACTGAGTCTTCACACACAGCTCCTGATTTTAACTAAAGTGGATATTGTATTTCTCAGACATGGACTGTGTAACTCAGTAGTACTGAAGCAAAATACGGTTTATTTCTCTATGATGAAATGTAAAGTAGCTCTGAATCCCGATTTCTGCTAATGAAAGGAAGAAGCAGCCGCAGTTTAACCTTGATGCTCAGCCACATATGGTTTCAGCTTCCTAACTGCTAGTTTCCACGAGTTGCTTTTGGATGAAAGCAAAACTCAGAATGAACCCCCTCCCTCCTATTTTTCCTTAAAGACCTCTGAATTTAGAGATACCTTATTTGGCACAGTAGCTTCAGAGGTGAGTGAAGCTGTCACTTCCACGGGCTCTCTGTCCTCCTTAGTCCACCTGCTAAGGTGCTGTGGTCCTCATGCTCCCTCTCAGTAACTGCCACACCTGTCAGGCATCTTGGGCTGTTTCAAAGTCAAGGAAAGCCTCTCTATGCACCAGCATTGTTCCTTTGGAGTTCAATTCCAACCACATGGTGAGCTAATGCTGTGATCTCAGGCAGGTTGCTTAACCTGAAGTGCCTCCATTTTCTCCCCTGTTCAATAAAGAAGATAATTGGAAACCTTTGTGAGGTTTTTGTGATGTGTTAACTTGGCTAGGTTGAACCACATGTCTGAACATTTTCTTCCTCCTCTATCTCTGGTTAGAGTGGGAACCAAGAGAGACTCTTGTAGGTTTGGGGGTGAAGCAAAGCAGCTTCCACACTGCAGCTCACTTGTCCTGGCTCACTGTGTCCTGGCTCACCTGCTAGATCACTTCAATGGCATGAGGTCACAGCTGGGCCTGCAACTGCTCCCCATTCCCCTGGACCCTCTCCTTCAGCTTCTCTGCCTCCTGGGCCAGTTGTGTGTGTTTAGTTCCATGACAAAGGCCTCTGGCTTCTGGAAGACAGCCACCCCAGCAAGGTTACAGGCAACAGGAACTGATACCGTTTCCAATCCGTCCTATGGACTCCACAAGGCTCTGCCACTTAACAGCTGTGTGATCTTGGGTCAGTTTCTCTCTGCTTCCTCACCAGAATGGCAACCATCATGGCTACCTCACTGGTAGTGTAAGGATGATGTGAGAAGATGCTTATGAAGTTTTTTAACACAGTACTGCACACTTAGTAAGGGATCTATTATGTAATCAATTCTGATTATTTTCTCTCTCTTTTTTTCTATTTCCTCTCCTCTTTTTCTCTCCTTCTTCCATCCTCCCCTCTTTTTGCTCACCATTAAGAATTAACTGAGGAGAGATGAAGAGATGACTTCCGGAAGGAATCTCAAGTCTTCATCTGTTTCACATGTGACCTCCTGTCTTCTGGCCAGGGATCTTTCCCATATGTCCACATAAAATCCCTCTCCTTGCAACCCAATTCCTTTCCATTTCATCCTGCCCCTTGCAGAAAAGGTGAAATTCAGGAAACACAGTTCCTGTTATTTATTCAAAGAAAAACTTCACAGTGTTGTATAGTCCACATCAGGAAATGATTTTATATCTCCGTTCAAAATTGCATGTTTTGAATCCCAGCTGAAAATACTATATCATAGATAAGGAAATCTATGGTGCTAGGGACTGAACATTTGTGTCCTCTTAAAATTTATAAGTTGAAATGTGATGGTATTTGGAAGCGCATCCTTTGGGAGATGATAAGGTCAAGAGAGTATTCTCATAAATGGGATTAGTGGCCTTACGAGAAGAGACACAGAGACATGATCTTGGCACATGAAGATACAGTGAGTAGATGGCTATATGTAATTTAGGAAGACAACCCTCACCAGATACTAGTATGCCAGCACCCTAATCTAAGACTTCCATCCTACAGAACTGAGAAGGAAAGGTCTGTTGTTTAAATCACCGAGCCTATGATATTCTCTTATAGCAGGTTTGAAGACTTCTCAATGCATAATTTCACTTCTTCCTTAAGAAAGAAATCCTTGAGGCCAACAAAAGAATCCCGGGTTCTTTAACACATGCTCACCCCAGGAGGCTTCAGAGAGCAGGGTGCTTCTTGCTAAGCAGCTTGAGTACTTGTGACACCCTTGGCAAGTTCTTCTTAGAGGCCTTGTACACTAAGATCCTAAGAATGAGGTCTCAGTCTTTATTCTTTAGAAACTTGGTTGGTGTTGAGGGATGTCACTTAACACCAACCTCCTCCCAGGCTGTGAAAAGTCAGCAGTAGGCATTTAAATACTGAAACCCGAACATGTCCAGCGGTCTCCATGCTTATATTCTTTTCCTATCAGCTTAGTTATCAGTGAAAACAAAGAGGATCAATAAAAGCAAGAAAAGATGCCTCCAGCAAACTCAAAGCTTTTTTTTTCTAAGAAATACAATCGGTAGGTATCATTTTGTGCCCTCTGAGCAGAACCTGAGTAGAGGGCCCTGATGGAGGAAGAAAACCATTAAGAGACTAAGCATAATTAACCATTAGAATTCATCAGCGAAAACTATCAGAGTGCTTTGCTAATTCTGCAGATTTAAAATTAGGCTTAATTTCTAGAAACAGACACGCAGAGGAAGTTTCTACCGGTAAAGTAGTTAGGGACATTTGAAAACCTCTTTTTGGCTGCAAAATGATCTGCAAAAGTTCTTCTACGTTCTCTGAGAACCTTGCTCTCTCCACAGCTGTGAGAGACCCCTGGTCTCCAGGACTAATCCCGCTCTTTGCAGAAAGAACTTGGAAAGTGAGAGATGTCTAATATTTGTGGGATTTGTTGATTTGCTCGTTCATTCATTCACTTAACAAATGTTGACTGAGTACTTACTATGTGCTAGGACCACTGTGGGGGTTGGGAATAGACATGGAAACAATGGGCGGAACACTCTGCTCCCAGAAACTCACATTCTAGAGCAGGAGTCGGCAAACATTTTCTTCAAACAGCCAGACAATAAATGCTTTAGGCTCTGTGGGTTACATGGACTCTGTTGCAATTTACTTGATTCTGTTGTGAGAGCACAGAAGCAACCAGAGACAAAATGCAAGTGAGCAGAAATAGCTGTGTTCCAATATAACTATATTCACAAAAATAGGTGGTGGGCAAGAGATGCATGATCAAGTTTACCTTCTGTATTAGTGCAATTTCATGCTGTTGATAAAGACATACCTGAGACTGGGTAATTTACAAAAACAGAGCAGTTGAATGGACTCACAGTTCCATGTGGCTGGGGAGGCCTCACAATCATGGCAGAAGGTGAAAGTCACATCTTACATGGTGGCAGGCAAGACAGAATGATAATCAAGTGGAAGGGAAAACCCCATATCAAACCATCAGATCTCATGAGACTTATTCACTACCATGAGAACAGTATGGGGGAAACTGCCCCCATGATTTGATTATCTCCCACTGGGTCTCTCCCACTACACATGGGAATTATGGGACTACAATTCAAGTGAAATTTGGGAGGGGACACAACCAAACCATATCACCTTCCATTTAGGTCTTCCCATTTTCTTGTTTTAGTAGCCTGCTGCTGCATACCATACCCATTTTATCATCTTCCTTCATCCTGTTTTTAGGGTGGCAGTTTCACCCATTGGTTAGGCCCACTCCCTGCTGTCAGATTTCAGTGACACTCCACCACTAGCAGTTTAGATAACTAAATACCTATTAGCTGAGAACCCCAGATGAATTCACCCATGTGTGATTAGCTTCTGAATTCTCTGTCATTAGCCTCTGCTCACCTTTTGGGACATTGTGCAAGTGAGTCTCTGCAGACTCCCCCATGCTAGAGGAAGGATTATACTATCCCCTTTCATCTGTTGCCTTTTGTCTGCTAGTCTGGACTTTCTCCTAGGACTTCAAAATGTTATAGGACCACTAGGGCCTGCTCTACCCAGTAAGCAAGTCTCATTTCTACATCTAGTTTAGACCCCATCTGTTTAATCTATTGCATGGCAATGAAACAGTAAAAACTCAGCCGTAGTGTAAAGGTTATCAATTATTTTAATATATTCAGCTTTAATGTTACTTGTTAAGATGTTTTGTAATATATAAAGGAGGACCAAGGAGAGAAGTGTGTGCATGTGGATGTCCATGTGTGGTTATAGTTGGAATGTGATGAGAGAAAACAACTGTGGATTTGTTCCAGTGCAATGCACAGTTGACCCTTGAACAACGTGGGGGTTAGGAACACCAACTCCCCCTCCCAGCCAAAAGTCCACATATAACTTTTGACTTCACAGAAACCTGACTATTAATAGCCTACTATTGACCAAAAACCTTACCAATAATACAAACAGCTGGTTAATACTTATTTTGTATGCTTTATGTATTATATACTGTATTCTTTATAATAAAGTAAGCTAGAGAAAAGGTTATTTAAAAGTCATAAAAAAGAGACAATATATTTACTATTCATTAAATATAAGTGGAACATTATAAAGGTCTTCATCCTTATTATTTTCATGTTGAGTAGGCTGAGGAAGAGGAGGAATAAGATAATTTGATCTTACTATCTCAAAGGTGGCAGAGGTGAAGAAAATCCACATATAAATGGACCCACACAGTTTAAATCAATGTTGTTCAAGGATGAACTGTAAATGCCACAAGGTAGAGAACATTTTGTGATCTTAACAGCTGGAACAGATTTCCGCTCAGGTACAAAATTGTCTTTGTTGGAAAAATGCTGTGTAGAGTTACAAGTGACTCACTGTCTCCCCTTCCCACTGGGCAGAGTTTCAGGTTGTGCGGTACTACTTGTCTTAATGGAGAAATAAAAATTGCAAAGTCTTAGACCAATCCAGTGGAGAAGGAGTGACGGGCAGAGACATAGGGTTTAGAACAGAAAGAAAGATGGCACAAATGTGGTGGCAGAAATGCTAACCCAAAAAACTATTCAGTAAATGCCACTAACCCCATAAATAGTTGGAGTAAACAGTATCTGTTGATGCTTAGGTAATGACAATGAAGAAGGTTATGTGTTTCCACTGAGGTTCACGTGAGGCATTCCACAGACAATGATGAACAAACTGAAGTTGGAGCGGCCAAAGAATCAGGAGAACCTGAGACTTCTAGGAATTCTCAGAAATATTTGGATGAGCTTTGGACTGCATCATTTCAGATCTTAAGAACTGACATGTGGTTCAGAATTGCCATGCCTGAGTTATGTAAGAAAACCCCAAAACAAAATTGCACATACCTTAAAAGCAAGATATTCTAATTAAATCAGCCTGAGAACTAATGTAAAATAAGTAAAATTCATCAGTGGAATCTCCAACATCCTCTCCCTACAAATTTGACTCTCTAATGCCATCTTCTCTTTAGACACCAGCCACTGTTCTATGTGGTCACAATTGTCCCATTATTTCATCATAGTAAACCTTACTTCAGAAGCAGCTTATGAATTTGTCTATATCAAAGTCTGAGAGCAATGTTAAGATCACTTAAAAGGAATATGGACCACAGCCTCAGAATTAGAGCCTAAAATGCATACAGTGGGATTTCATGGACAATCAGCATGCAGGAACATTCTGGGCAGAGGCACATCCAAGTGTTCTTAAAATCAGATCAAGGCAGAAAACTTTAAGTTGGAGCTCTACCTCATGCTATATAGCAAAAGATATTTTAAATGAATCAAAGAATGATATCCTTAACTACAAAAAAATTTATGAACCTTTTACATTGCAAAAAAATAAAAATAGCAAAGCCAAAGAAATATGGCACAGTGAGGAACAAGTAATTTGCAACCCACATTGACAGTCAAAAGGCCTAATTTCCTCAATATATGATGATCTAACAATGTCTTCATTCATGTAACAAATACTGATTGTTTGCCCACTGTGTATCAGCACAATTCCAGGCATTTATTTGGGGATACAGTGAGCAACCGAAATAGATAAAGTCCCTCTTCTTGTGCAGCCTGTATTCTGGAAGGTGAGTGCACAAGATGTGAGAGATGTTAAAAACAGAAAGCCAAACACCTCAGTGAGCAAAAGCATAAACTGGCAGATGTCAAAAAACAAACATAAAAAATGACAACTCACAGTTATTGAGCACTTTCTGTTCTAAGGGATTTATGTTACATCAAATCATATAATCTTTACAACTCTATATGATGAATGCTTGTATCTTCATCTTCATTTTAAAAACACAAAGAAATAAATACTAATAAATTATACTAAATAACTGAACTGGCAAGTAATATAGCTAGGGTTTGAACCCCAAGTAGTCTGCCTGCAAAACTCACACTTTTTAATCATAAGGCTAACCTAGGTATTTATTTATTTATTTATTTATTTAACTTTTTACAGTTTTTATCTTTTCAGACACAGGGTCTCGCTCTGTTGCCCACAAGGCTGGAGTACAGTGGTGTAATCGCGGCTCTCTATAGCCTTGAACTCCTGGGCTTCAAGCCTCCTCTTGCCTCTGCCTCTTGTGTGGCTAGGACTGCAGATGCATGCCACCATGCCTGTTTAATTTTTTAATTTTTATTGTGTAGAGATGGGGGTCTCATTATGTTGCCCAGGCAGGTCTTAAACTCCTGGCCTCAAGTGGTCCTCCAGCCTTGGCCCCCCAAAATTCTGGGAATACAAGCTAATTTAGGATTGCAGCCTAAATTAGACAGTAATAAATCAAAATATACGCTTAATTTCGTTCATAATTTAACTTCAAGTTAATACAACGTTATTGAGGGAATGTGTTCACTTTCCGGGTCCACAAGGGGGTGTAGTTTTAAGGGCAAAAACTTCCCAGCACCATCCCCGCCTCCCCCCCGCCCCCCCTCCATGCCTCTCCATCCAGGAGATTTAACGATTTCTGTTTAATTTTCGTGGCACAGGAAAAGGTCAAAAGTCAGTCACTCCAGTGAAAGTTTAAGGGAACTCTTTTCATTGACCAGGGGGAAGTTCCTCCCAGGTTAAAAGTCCCTGTCTCCCTCATCTGGGCAGATTTCTCCTCTGGGGTCCCCCTCTACACTCTCTCGTGGAAACTTGTCTTCCTCTCCTAAACTCCATCTCTCTCTATTCCCTTCCACTCAGTGTGGAAGCTCTTTCCTCTCCTGGATTCCATCTTTCTGGATTCTCTCACTCTGTGAGAGCTTTCCTTCTCTGGTTTCCCCCTCTGTGAACGCTTCTCACTCAATGTGAGAGCTAGCTGTTTCTCTCTCCTTCTCATTTTCTCTCTCTGCTTAAATAAATCACTTTTCTACAAAAACTTTTTTGGGGTCCAGTGTTTACGAGCCGTGGTCCCCTCTCCCATTCTTGAGAGAACCAGAGACCAAAAGCCTGGAGCCCACCAGGGAGCGAGCTGAGCGCTCCCCTGCACCCCAAAACCTGCCAACACTATGACATTTTCACCTAGCAAATTGGTAATAATAAGGCTTAGTGCTAAGAAAAACATTGGGGAAAGGATCCCTTACTAACTGTTGGTGAGAGTGTGAATTGGCGCAATTTTTTGGAGGGCTGCTTGTCAGTGTATATCACAACCTAAAATCTATGCACCACTTAACTCAGCCATTCTACATCTAGGGATTTATTTTCTAGTTACATTCACTAATTTGCACAAAGCTATATGTATAAGGATTTAAAATTTAGTTCTATTTGTAATAGACAAACTCTAAAGATGACTTAACTTTTATTAATAAGAAAATAGTTAATTCAAACATGTTTCATTCAGTCAAAGGAATGCTGTGCTGCTTTGAAAAAGAAGCCAGATTTGTATTTTCTGATATGGAAAGATCTTTTAATTATATTACTAAGTTTTCAAAAATCAAGAAAGCAAGAGCCAGGACAGTGGTATAACTTGCTTCTATTTGCATCAAGTAAAAGGAGACCCACATGCACACACTCACAAACAATACACCAGAAACTTCCATATTAGTTCTTTTGAACTGGGAGCCAAGGGTGTTAGGATGACTCTTTTCATTGTTTGACTTCTGCTTTTAAAAAAAATGCACATATATTGGTCTTTCAGTTGAAAAACAATGTTTAATTGAAAAAAAATACCTCTTAAGTATGTATTTACAAGCCAATCTTGAAGACTGGAATAACCCTGAAATTTTCATGAGGGCAATACTGGGCAGGAGATTCCCAGAGAGTGACGCTGCCTCTGTACCTTTAGAGACTTGGGTGTATCCTTACCTAGCCTTGAGGGAATAAGTGCCCAAAACCATCAAGGCAATTCCGTAAGTGAGAATTTCCCCAGTGCAATAACCAACATAATATTCCTCAGGGCCATCCAGATAGGCTGGTCTCCTACGCCAGGGTCTGCAAACCTTTTCTGTAAAAGGACAGAAAGTAAATAATTCACTTTGTGGGGGGCCATAAATATGTAGTTCTTGACACGTTTCTTTGGTTGTTATTTTCAAATTCCATTTAAATATGTATAATCCATTCTTGCCGGGCGCAGTGGCTCATGCCTGTAATCCCAGCACTTTGGGAGTCCGAGGTGGGTGGATCATGAGGTCAGGAGATCAAGATCATCCTGGCTAACACAGTGAAACCCCGTCTCTACTAAAAATACAAAAAATTAACCCGGCATGGTGGCACATGCCTGTGGTCCCAGCTACTCGAGAGACTGAGGCAGAAGACTCGCTTGAACCAGGGAGGTGGAGGTTGCAGAGACCCAATATAATGCCACTGCACTCCAGCCTGGGTGACAGCATGAGACTCTGTCTCAGAAAACAAAAAAAACCATTCTTAGTTCTCTGATCAAATAAAAACAGGTTACAGGCCAGCTTTGGCCTTCAAACGGGACTGTAGTGTTGCTGACCTCTGTGACCTCTGCTCTACGTTAATCACAGTGGGCAGCAGGCAGAGATTTCAAGGCAAGGTAAAGGGTTTGCATCTTCTCTCCCCAGACACTGCTGCTGCATGGGTGGTGTCAGCAAATGGATATTTTTCCTGTGCCCCAGTAAGCTGGTGCCCAAGGGCATATGCCTCTCTCTGCTCCACCCACCTGCTACCTCCCTGGTATGGAAAAGGAAATCTATTTTTTTTTTAACTTTTAAGGTCCAGGGTACATGTGCAAGTTTGTTACATAGGTAAATTTGTTTCATGGGGGTTTATTGTACCAATAATTTCATCACCCGGGTATTAAACCTAGTACCCATTAGTTATTCTTCCTGATTCTCTCCCTCCTCATACCCACCACCCTCCGATAGGCCCCAGTGTGTGTTGTCCCCCTCTATGTTTCCATGTCCTTCCTCAGGAAAACGGAATCTTAACTCAGTGTCTGGCTTCTCACTCCTCTCTTAAAAGTGCCTCCCCTGCTGTGAACCTAAAACTGCTCTGAAAAAACAAAGGATTTTTGTTTTGTTTTGTTTTTTTAAAAAAGGCACCTCCCCAATTCCTCTCTGAGCCACCTCTTCCCTCCCTGGAACCACCCAACCACTACCCATGCTGTATCTGTCTTCTGGGTAATCTCATCTCTTTGTCACTCATGTAATTCAGAGACACGTAGTTGACCTTAGAGATGAACTTGGGAGCTCTCTGCCTTTCTTTATCTCCTCCCCAGAACTAAGTGCCTGCTTGTGAGATCAACAGTACTGGGCCAGGTCTGAGCAGCCCTTCCCTAAGTGCATCTAGCCTCTAGACAGCTTGTTCTTTTGTGAGTTCTAAAATTTCTGTCACTGGAGCAGCATTGACTCATTTTCCTGTGTGCTTTGAATAGTGCCTAGGAGAGCAATGTGAGCACATGGACATTTTATGAAAGAACCCTCTGATAACGATAAACAGGCATCTGGAAAGAGCATCATTTTACCAAAAAAAAAAAGTTCTGGCAGCGGCATGAGATTAGGGAAAAGGATTTTAGTGTTAGCCTTTGGCACAAAAAGATGGGAGATGCTCAAGTCTGATAGATGAGTGTGCTGTCTTTATGGGGAGCAATGACAGAACATTGTAGGCAGATTAATTTCTTTCACCTGGGCTGCATGTGGGTTGTTTCAGGGAAAAGCAGCCTCCCAGGTACTCTGAGTTCAGGGTAGGTCCAGGGAGGAAAGTAAGATGTGGTCAGTGGCAGCGGCTGTGTGTACAGGCTGACTTCCTGCCTGGAACTGGAGCATGGTGCTAACCCCTGCTGTGGGAAGAGCCATGAGACTGAGACGCTTTGTGGCTCCATTGCGTGTAGTCATGAAACCCCAAAGACTTTGGTTTTAGCTTAGTTTTGTTGCAGACCTGCCATGAAGATGCCACTTCCTCATCTTACTTACATGCCGATTTCCTCATCTATAAAATCAGGGGGTTGGGCAATGGTGATATCTGATGGCCTTTTCGGCTCAAATATTCTATATGTCCATAAAACTA